GTACCGGGATATAATGTTATCCAGTATGTCTCTACCATATGAAAAAGACTGTTCCTCAGCAACTGTTCCAGTAATTATACAGTGGTACCTTGGCTCACAAACACTTTGGTTCACGACCAAATCAGGTTGCAAACAAAAGTTCCATGAAAATTTTGACTTGGGTTGCGAACTCCACATTGGGTGGCAACCAAGATCGCAGCCATCTCCCCATCCCGATTAGGGAGATGGCCACAATCGCAGTCGCGTTCATGCAGAGAAGACGTGTGTGATCACAGGCACGCTCATGCAGGAAAGATGGGTGCAATCTCTGCCATCTCCCCCCCACAACCAGCATGATCGCAGCCACCTCCCCACCCCACCCCCTGAGTGGGGAGATGGCCACGATCACAGTCGCGTTCGTGCAGGGAAGACATGTGCGATCGCAACTGTGCTGTGCTGCGCCTGTCTTTCCTGCAGGAGCATGCCCGTGATCACACACTTCTTCTCTGCACAAATGCAACTGCGATCATGGCCATCTCCCCACTCGGGGGAGAGAGATGGCCGGAATTGTGCTGGTTGGGGTGAGGGGGAGATGGCCACGATTGTGCTAATTGCGGGGGAGGGGAGATGGTCGAGATTGCACCCGTCTTTCCTGCAGGAGCACACCTGTGCCAGGATTTCTTTGAGAAGTACCAGCCCAACATAACTGTAACGAACAAGAGTGTTGAATCTGATGAACGATAATGTGGTCTCTCATTTCCGGAGGGTTATGCAGCGCAGGAAAAAACAAGTGGCTATAGACAGATTTTTCACCAAAATCGACCCTGCAGCTAAGAGACAAAGAAGAGAGACAAACCCTGAAAGAGATCTCCCCAGTGTCCTTATGGAGGGGGACTCTCCCTCAAAACAATAACCTCCCCCACACCTAGGTTAGTGTTCTCTACTGTACTGTACAGTACTTTGTTACTTTGTTGTTCTTTGTCACTTTGTTTCAAATTTTTCTGATTTAAAAAAAAAAAAGTTCCAGAACGGATTAACCTTATTTACATTGAATCTTAAGGGGAAATGTGACTTGGCTTGCAACCAAAAATTGGGTCACAACCACATTCAGAGGGGCCAGAACAGATTCACCTTATTTACATTGAATCTTATGGGGAAATTTGACTTGGGTCACAACCAATTTGGGTCACAACCAGAGTCATGGAACAGATTAAGTTTGTGAGCCAAGGTACCACTGTATTTGATAGCATGATGAGCTTTTCTACACAAGGAGTCTGTGCTGCAGTCCCGATAAATGGTTCTTTACATGCTCTTTAGAGGATGGTGTGACCCACCAGTTCCATTTCAGTTTTTACCATCGTTGCTGTTTAAAAAATGAAACAGTGGGGGAAATGGGGCGTTACTTTAGAAGAGAGAAAATTTCACTGTTTCTCTGTGTGTGTCTGAGCTATTCCACTAAAGCACAGCTCCACTTAGAAGTTACGTAGTAGAAAAGCAGGAAAGGGAAAACTGCAGAGCCCAGCTGTGATTAACAGAGTCAACTAGAAAAGCTTAAAGTGATTCTGACATAAAAGGAAAACAATATGAAGATGGCAAGACATTACATCTTTTTAATATATCTTAATATATAGAGTCAAGAAGCAACAGTGAGAACTGGGCACAGAACCACTGATTGGTTCAAAATTGAGAAAGGAGTTCGGCAAGGCTGTATACTCTCGCCCTGCCTATTTAACTTATATGCAGAGCACATCATGAGAAAGGCGGGCCTAGATGAATCACCAGTTGCAATTAAGTTTGTTGGGAGAAATATCAACAACTTCAGATATGCAGATGATACCACTCTCATGGCAGAAAGTGAAGAGGAACTAAAGAGCCTTTTGATGCGGGTGAAGGAGGAGAGCGCAAAAGTTGGCTTGAAACTCAACATTAAGAAAACTAAGATCATGGCATCCGGTCCTCTCACTTCCTGGCAAATAGATGGGGAAGAAATGGAGGTAGTGACAGATTTTATTTTCCTGGGCTCCAAGATCACCGCAGATGGGGACTGCACCCAAGAAATTAAAAGACGCTTGCTCCTGGGGAGGAAAGCTATGGCAAATCTAGACAGCATACTAAAAAGCAGAGACATAACCCTGCCAACAAAAGTGTGTACAGTCAAGGCTATGGTTTTCCCAGTTGCAATGTATGGCTGCGAAAGCTGGACCATAAGGAAGGCTGAATGCCAAAGGATGGAGGTCTTTGAATTGTGGTGCTGGAGGAGACTCCTGTGAGTCCCTTAGACCCCAAGGTGATCAAACCGATCAGTCTTAGAGGAGATCAACCCTGACCGCTCTTTTGAAGCCCAGATACTGAAGATGAAACTCAAATACTTTGGCCACCTAATGAGAAGGAAGGACTCCCTGAAGATCCTAATGCTGGGAACAATAGATGGCAAAAGAAGAAGAGGACGGCAGAGAATGAGGGGATAGATGAAGTCAATGAAGCAGTTGGGGTGTGCTTGGGTGGAGTCCAGGGGATGGTGGAGGACAGGAAGGCCTGGAGGAATGTTGTCCATGGGGTTGCAATGGGTCAGACATGACTTCGCAACTAACAACAACAACAACAACAACAACAACAACAACACACACACACACACACACACACACACACACATATATATATATATATATATATATATATATAGAGAGAGAGAGAGAGAGAGAGAGAGAGAGAGAGAGAGAGAGCGCTTCCATACAACCTGAAGTACCTGATCCTACTTAGTCTTGGAAGCTAAGCACAGTCAGGCCTGGTTGAAATCTGGATGGGTGACTGAATTGTTGTGAATTGCACAAAGAGCTTCAGCTATGGTTAGTACATCAATGTAATAACAACAATAGCAATGACATCAAACAAATTTAAAAATCAAGCATACAAAAATTAATTCTAGATTCATTAAACATATGCTTAATGTGTTTATTGGATTTTCAGACCAACTTTTAAAGTATATTCTGCTCATACAAATAATTCTGTTTATGTACTAGGCTTCTAAATAATACATTCATAATATTTCAATAATAAAATTTGCATATATATGATTTTAATATCTATATATTATTTTTTCAGCAGACTATATTTATTTTGATCTACAGTACTTAAGAACAATCTTACCAATAATCAGGACTGGATGCCTATTCAGTAAAAGAAGACTTGTTAAGAAACTGTGCCGAATTGTATCAATATTGGGAATAAAGGTAGATATTTTCTTTCCATGGTTTTCTGCCCTTCTATTATCAGAATCTGAAATGTCTGAAGTGTCTTAATTTAAAATAAATAAAATTTCAGATAATTAGGATTTTTCTTGTCATATTTATTTATTTATTTTAAACTTTCATAATATCAAAATTATGAAATAATTGCTGATTAAATCAGAGATCAGGACAAACTTTTAGATCACTGGATTATTTGAAGTGCATGGCCAAATATTTCCAGACTACAACATACTAACAATAGTAACAACATACTTCTCTTAATGTTGCTCTTTGATTTGTGATAACACTGTAGTTAACTTCTGTAGATAAGTAGCATTCTCCCCAAGTAAAAATTTTACACCTTGTTTTACCCTTTTCAAGTTACTAGATGTGGTTGATGGACCTTAGGGTCTAGTTAAAAACCAAGTACATCCTGAAGTCTACCTATATTTTATTCATTATTGCATCTGATATTCACCAGTGATCTGATTCACTTCTGAATTTTGTAATAACTGTTTTTCCAGGTATTGTGTTATTCTTTTTTAGCTGTCTTACAGCCATTAGGATTTTCAGTAGCCTGACATTTTGGGGGAAATATTGTCCTTGGATGGGTAAAAGCTATATGTATCTACTGAAATTCATGTCAAATCCACCCCATTTAGGTGAGGGCTGGGAGTTTGTTTGGGTTTTTTAAATCCATATAAATCGGAGTAGAAGAGTGGGGAAACAGCTCAAGGCTGGCACTTTCCTAAAAGCTATTGCTAAGTGATTTCTGATAGGTAAAAGTAGCTTCCTGGAAACTCTATAAGTAGCCCTACAAAGGAGCAGACCGCATCTGTGGGGCTTCATAGAGGCCATGAGTAAGAATTACATTGCTTGGATGCTTTCTTTGTTCCTAGCTGATCAACTCATGGAGGCAGCCATCTTTTTGCCTGCACAAGGGGCTGGAAATGATGCAGGGCATCAAAGATGTCCCAGGTGGGCAGGGGCAATTCCAAACCATGTGCTGTTGTGGATGTGCTGCTTATCCATAATGGCCTTTTTAAAGGCTAGGAAAAAGGTGAGGGGAAAGGAGCTTTCAGAACACCTCTTTATTTAAAATGCAAGTGGCACTTCCATCCCCAGCTGGGATTTTCTATTCCTTCTTCCTGATGCTCAAGAGTGATTTGCTTGCTTATGGCCCCTGCTAATGTGAAGACATTCTGGAGAAGACCGTTTGAAAACATTTTGGGAAAGAAAATGTTTTGTTCAACCTTTTACATATCCTATGGAAATCTTATTATTCATGAAGCCAAGTATCTTCACCAACTAAATGAAAAGAGCACTCATAAAATATATTGAGAGCCTGTGTGGTATAGTGGTTATAGTGCAATCGGACTCAGGCAATCTGGGTTCTAGTCTCCAATCAGCCAAGGAGCAAACTGGATGACTTTGGACCAGTCACAGCCCAACCTACCTCACAGGAGTAAGAGCTGGAGAGGAGAATGATTTAACCCCCTTTGTGTTTGTTATATGGAAAATATGAGATATAAGTCTAATAAATGATTAGAGAAAGAGAGGCAATCTGTTTGCCAAATATTATATGACTAACACACAAAGGTTCTCATTTTAGCATTTATTTATTAAAAATATTTATATTCTGCTTCTGTTTACTCAATATGCCTAACAATAAAAATTTAATCAGAATAAAATGCTACAAGCAATGTTTAATATCTTTCTGAGTTCAAAATATAACTTTGCCCAGAAAATTAAAGTAAAAATGCAATAATATGGGTTTGTGATAAATATTCTTACCCTTCTGAATAAGAAACTGTGTAGTAGGTACTAAATGTGCCCATGGTGCAAATTCTCCTGACTGCATATCTACAAAATAATCAAAAATAGTTTTGTCTCCAGTGGGGATCTGAATATCTATAGGTAAGAAAAGAGAGAAATACATTGGTAAGAAAAAGAATTAATTGTGGTGACTAGTTACTGTTGGCTACAAAGCACTAATTTTGTCATAGAATCAACACGGAGTAATATTTTTGGCAAGATAATATTTTTATGAGGTAAATTTTTACTGGTAAGAGTGTACGTGCTTTTGAGTTTCAAAAAGATCCTCTTGCTTTTTTAAAACAGCAATCCTGTTACATTTTACTTGTCAAGAATTCTGAAAATAAATGGCTTTCTTCTCACGTGTGAATTCACTTTTGAACTGCTATCTCCACCATATCTACTGATGCACTTTTGCAGTTACCGTGCATCACTGCCTTTTGGTATACAATATATTGGAAGTGAGCTCTTCTATTGTATGTATGTATGTATGTATGTATAAATGGCCAAATAGTTCAGATAGACTCTCTAGGCAGTATAAAACAGTGAAATTACAAGACAACTGAACCATCATTAAAAGTAACAAATTATTATTATAGCCAAGATCATTAAAAACATGTCCAGGTGAAACAAACAACCAAATTTACTAAAATTACAATAAAATAAACATTTACAATCCATTATTAAAATCAATTATTAAAATTATTACAATAGATGGAGAAGAGATATGTTTTCGCCTGGCACAGAAATAAAAGCAGAGTTGGCACCAGGTGAACTTCTCTGGGGAGCCTGTTCCACAGGTGGAGGGCAGCTACTGAAAAGGCCCTTCTATTTACTACCCCTCTCACCTCCTTGAGTGATGGCACATCCAGGAGGACCTCTTGCATGGATCTTAATGGTTGGATAGACATGAACAGGAATGCCATTCTAAAGGCATGTTGTCTAGCATGCCAGGGGACATGGCGTGCTTGACATATGGTGAGATGTTCAGGTAGCATTGCAGTTCACATTTAGTATACCCTAGACAAAGCTGCAGTACTTATCACATTGATGCCACAAGAGTGAACACAAAACTGCTCTCACAGACCATTGGTCAGACTATTGGCTCCTGTGTCAGACTACTGGTTCCTCTAGCCTATTTTGTCTAGCCAGCCTGGCAGCAGCTTCCAGGGTCTCAGACAAGCATCTTCTTCAGGCCTAGTGACTGAGATCCTTTCAGATGGAGATGTCAGGAACTAAACTTTGGACCTTCTCCCATGCAAAGTCGGTGCTCTGATCATGAATCATCTTGAGTTCCCTGCCTCTTGCAGAATTCCATTGTAGTCATGTAAATAATATACACTAATTCACTGGAGGTTGGTTGCTCCAATGTCAGTGAGGCAGTGCAGCAACTCTGGCTGGTAGTGTGTGCGTTAGGGAGCTGTCCATGGTACTTAGCCAATGCTGAGGATAGGGTTCTCTGAAAACCAGAGTGGATACATTGGCCCATAGACACTGGGGCCACCAGCCTCCACTGACTAATATGTATGCCGGCTGTCTTCAATGTTGGTCCCTCCAGATATTTTAGATTAGAACTTCCACTAGCCTCAGAAAGTATAACAAAAGGTCAAGGATGATGGGAGTAGTCATGAAAAGCATCTCAAAAACCAAAGATTGAGAGAGGTTTCTACATGCCATAGATCTTTAGTGCCTTTAGAATGGAGAATTTTGAAAGTGTGTTGTGCAAATTGTTCAGGCTCATAAAAACAATAAGATTGCATGGCCTTTCCAGTCCTATTCTTCTATGCAGTTTTTAAGACTAGTTTCCAGTAGAATATGGCAAAAAAAGAGCAATACTCACTAGCAGGAGGCTTTCTTTCAAACGTATCATGAACAAGGTAATTGAAGTCACGTGTTACTTTTGCAAGATCATCTTGGCTGGTGTTTATACCAATCAGAGTTTCACCCTCATGCTCTTCCTCTCGTCTTAAAACTCCCCCAACAGCCCATGTGAATGCAAATATGAAAAGTTTTCCTAGCAATACTGGTAGTTTATTAGGGTGTTTCTCCCAAAACCATCTCGATTCTTCTCTGAAATTAATACAAAGAAAATTAGATTTATTAATTAGCAGACTGGTTTTAGGAACTAGCATTGCTCTTTGCTCCTTTAATGACAGTCAGGCACAAATGTAGTAGGTTTGAGAATATAGGGATGCATTGGACTGTTTTTTTTAAACTACAAATTTATGAATTGGTACACTGATTTAGGAAGTATTGTAAGTACTAGCAAGCAAATTCATTTCGCATAGTGCATAGTTCTTGATTTACACTCAGTACATGACTCTTACGTACTATGGAACTGTTCTGTAGTTATGTGTGTGGAACCAATGTAACATTGGAAAATATTATTTGCCTGTGAATCCTCTTTTGCAATTAAAGAAAAGCACAGTTCTTTTTAAGTCTCTAACAAGTCCCCAAATCCAACATTACATTGATCCTATGAATAAACCATGAGCAGGTAATTGCACAAGTAAGCTGGCTCCAATACAATGTGCACATCAGTTCTAAAAGACTGAAGTAAGTAAGTAAGTAAATAAATAAATATGTAAGGGAAGGTAAATGATTCTAGAATAGTGAACCTGTTAATTCAGATTGAGGAATATGTTTCAAGTGTGTTGAAAGGTTCCCTGTAAGTTGAGCTGCTGGGCGGAGGAATGGGTTGCTTATAAAGAACTGTTAAAGTCAGAGTGGATCGACATGCAGAGAAGCACTAGAACTTGTTGCATGATGCAGTTAAGAAACTTTCTGTCAGCAGAGTGTGTGTGTGCATACCCCCAAAGATGGCCAGCAGCTTCTCACAAAATCAGCAATATCTCTGTCGTTAGCCAATCTCATATATAGGGGTTGGTTGGGTAGGAATATGTTTCTCAAGAAGTTTGAAAGTTCCAAACTTTTTGATGAATTACTGACTTCACCCTCCCTTGTCCCACTACAGATTAAAAATCCGCTGGAAATGGATGCCTAATGAATGGTAACTGCAGGATACAGTGCAGATTGTTCCTGGAATATATCACAGTCAACACAGATAATAAACAATAATAAAGTACAGCGACACTGACTTGGAAAGGGGCAATCACAAACTAAGGGCTTCTTGACACCAGGCATTTCTTGTGAGCAAGGTGCTTTACACAATGTCATCACCCTCCAGGGCTGCTATCATGCTCTGCAACAGTACCTACAGCTTCTCTGAGATCAAGAAAAATGTGGTATTTTCTGTAAATGGCAGCATGGAACTACAGCATCGCTTGGTAGTTGCATAATGGAGCATATAGAAAGACAGAGAACAAAAAGCCCTGTAAAAACACATATGCAAAGATGTGAATGCTAATTCTGCAAAGAATTAGGAGCAGAAGCCTCTGCAAAGCCTCATGTAAAAAAGCCCTTAATAATCATTGCACCCAGCACAATGTACCAGATAGCTTGCAGTGTTTAGGGCTTTTAGACAACTGCCTAAAACTCTGGCTTTATCACCTGTGCCTTTATAAAACCCAATGCTTGTGCAGATTTCCCAAACAGGGGGTAGAGAAACAGAAGTGTGATATATCTGGACTCTTGGGTTACAGCTGATAGAGATTTATCCTAATGTTTTCTACCCTGTTCCTTGTGTCTGTCTGTCTGCCTGTCTTTCTTAAATTTATATACAGCATTTTTTTCTTTTAAAGAACATCATAATCCTCCTCCTGCTCTCAATTTTATCTCTACAACAACCCTGTGAGGTAGGATCCCCTGTAAATCTGTCAGAGCCAAGGTCACCCAATTGGCTCTGTGGCTGAGTGCAGACTGGGACCCAGATAGCCTGAATCCCAGTCCCATGCTCTTAACCTCTGATCCAAAAGCTTCAAGAGCCAGTTAAAAACCTTGCTACAATTCCCCCACTTGGCTACCAGAACACCATATGAAAATATGCTTATGCTAAAAACCTCTATATTATCAACTTTCAATTTGGTACAAAATCCCATTGATTCAACACATTTCAGAATGGAATCTGCCATTTTATGTGAGACTCTGGCCAGCTCCAGGTGCTACACCAAGGTAGCTCTTTATTTAAGAACTGCTCTTCACAACACCCCTCCCCTCGAGACTTCTAGCTGAATCAACTGGGTTCTTTTTCTTGCTGGAAAGCATATCCTACCAGGATTGGGAGACAAGGTTCCTCAGCCAATAAAATAATGGCTTGTTTTTTAACTTGCTCATATTTAGGGGGAAATTATTTCTGCTTCTCTGTAACAGAAAACTGACACTCAGGTCACCTCGTGTAAAGCAGTCTTCCAATGTAAACACTCATTTGCTAGTAGATAGACTGCAAAGCGTCTATCCATTGAGAAAAATTATGATGCCCCACAGATCAAAGTAAAACAAGTTACGTAATTCAATGGTTTCCAATTATCATTTTGGAGAAATTGATTCTAAATTCAAGCATTTCATCATGTTTTGATTCCTTAATGGCTCACCCACCTTGTCTTCATTATTGATGGGACCACTCCACTGAGTGCACCAGTTACACCTGAAAACTGAGAAGTGCTGCTCTTGATCTCTGTGCAGAAACTCACTGTGCTTGGTCTTATTTTACTACCTGCAATGTAATGATCCAGACTGTACATTTGACAATCCAAGAAATAACCAAATACATAATACAGCTGAAGCAATTATAATTTCCTTTACAACTTGTTTTACATTTTAATTTCACTTTTCTTTTCTTCTTTTGATCCAAATCTACTACAAAGTGCTAGATGTTCTGAAATACTAGCTTGGTTGTTAATTCAGAAAACTGTAATGACTCTTATATGTACAAAACATGTATAGTAACTATTTCAATATTAATTTGCTTCTTTTACTCAGGAGGAAATATCAAAGGAAATTGGATAACTAGTTGCTGAAGCAAACTGAATCACATAGGGTGCATTTAGGGTGCAATCCTATGTATACTGAGGCAGAAAAGTCCTACAACACCCAGCATGGCCCAGTCACCCAGCTGGCTGAAGAAAACTGAGTTTTTTAGGACATTTTTCTGCATAAAGAAGGGTTGGCTTATACCAATAATAATTCTGGATACTCGTCCACTCATTTGAAAGCTGTACTGGTGGCTAATGTAACTGCCAGTGCTATTTTTCATCTCTGCTGGACTGAAAATAGTGATGAGTGTTTGAATGATAATCCAAATTACTGTCTTACCTCATGTTCAGGTCCAGTTTTTGGTTCATGGACAAAGAGACCTGGAATCAGAATGTCATGAATTTCTATCTAGAGCCTTGCATGTAATCCCAAGGCAACCGTTCAAAGGGAGTTAGCCTATTGTCCAGTGACAACGGTAGGTCAGAGGGTGACTCCCCCCCACCGGCTTAAGATAAATTTTCAACAGGTCTCTTGTCTTATTTTACTGGCATTTAAAGACATGCATTCAGAATCATGCGACACCAAAATTGATTGATTGATTGATTTATATCCTGCCTTTTTCCTACAAAGGGCTCAAGGCAGCTTACATCTCCTCCTCCATCTTATCCCCACAACAACCCTGTGAGGTAGATTGGGCTGAGAGTCTGTGACTGGCCCAGAGTCACCCAGTTGGCTCCATGGCCGAGCGGGGACTAGAACCCAGATCGTCTGAGTCCCACTCCCACGCTCTTAACCACTACACCACACTGGCTCTGGAATTGTTTCTAAACTGGGTTTTTCAGTGGGTTATTTAATTGCAAAGGTTGTGTTAATGTCCATCTGGAAGCCTCAAGACTACTGATCGATGATGACTTCTAGACTACTACTGCACTAATAGCTACATGCTGTTCTACCATGTTGCATAAAGATTTTATAAGTTTCTCCACTGGTCTTTTACCTGCCTGTAACTAGTTTTAGATGGCTCTTAACTAAATGCAGATTATATTTTATTTTATCATATGGCACATTCACATCACACTTCAATGAAAAAATATGGGCATAAAAATCTGACACATAAAAGCTAAAATATTATACACATATGTCTAAATTACAAATATAATTTTTGCTTTGTTTGTCACAACCAGGAAATCAGCATACTGTCCTTCATAAGGTCTATTTTGGCACTCTGTCACTATATGTTGAATAGTTTGTCTTTCAGTCCCACAATCACAATTAGATGATGGCATTTTGCCCCATTTTTGCCCCAATTTTTCCCCTTTAATAAATGTACAAAAGGTGAATTACATATCCCTAAAATTAAATGATGCTAGTGGCTTATTTAGTACAAACAGACAATGTCTCTTAGACAATGTCTATTTCAATGTTAGAATACCAAGGACTGGTCCACCTTTCTTGGAATGCTCATTGAGCACTCAGTACCTTGATCTCCTCACTCTTGGTATTGAAGATAGCTCCTCTTTAGGCTAAAACTTATTTTCATTGACTAAGATTATTTTGTGACATACTGCACCACGAATTCATGAAATTGTTTCTAGGGCAGGAGAGATATTTTATTGACACAGATAGGTATCAGCCACTGAACTATTTTAGCTAAATGAATAATTTTAACATATAATCAGTCATTGATGGGTTGTTATTTTCTTATTCTAATTAGTCTGATTTTTTGTATGTGTCTTTTTTGTGCGTCTTGCTTGCTTTGTGTTTTCAGTCTGAGTTATATGCAAGGCTGGTTGGTTAGTGAGAAATAAACTAAACCTTTCATCAGGCATCTACTAATATACACAACTTGGCAAGAAGACTTTAGAAAGTCATCTTCCTAAATAAAGCAGAACTCAGTGTCTTACCCTTATAGCTCCTATGCAACTTGCCTATTCAGCATAAAACAGACCATTAACATATGATGTTGGTTCGACACTGAGGATACAGTGTGTCTCTCCTGAGCTAATACATGGCATAGAAGATGTCGGATGAGGAGGTTTCATTGCTTATGCCTCCAATCCCAACTTAGCTCTGGCTCAGTGGGCATCCTTGTATATGTCCCACAGATTGTGCTGTACTGGCACTAATGGAGCAAGTGCTTCTGGAAATGAGCAAAGCACTAATTTCTGGATCAGGAAAGGCCAGCAGAGCTCCCTTCTGCAAACTGTACTGACCTGCCACAATATGTGCATGACTGCTTTGTTTAAAAGTGCTCGATTCTTGCATCTCACCATGTACAGGCTACATTAGATACTCCCTATAGTGACAGACACTGCCCATAATTGCACATTTTAATGGTACCACTTTTGGTAAACAAGAGGCTCCTTCATCATATGTACAGTACAGAACTGGTTATATGTATATGGGGAAGTATCCAATGGGGGTATTCCCTCCTCCAATTATTGATGATTGCATTGTACAAGTCTCCGGACCACTTGCACAACTATGATTTAGCACTTCTAGGGCACATCCTGGAACAAGTGGAAATGGTCGTTTCTGGAACAGTGGAGAGCAGCAGAGCTCACATAAGGAAGCTTTGCCAATACATCCTGATCCAGAAAGGAGTGTCCCCACTCATTCTGAGGCTTCCCCTTGATGTTGTTGTTTAGTCACAGTCGTGTCCGACCCTTCAGAACCCCATGGACAACATTCCTCGAGGCTCTCCTATCCTCCACCATCCCCTGCAGTCCACCCAGCCCCACACCCACTGCCCCAAGTGACCCCATCCAGCCCCCTCAACCTCTGCCATACCCTCTCTTTTTCTCTTCAATTGTTCCCACCATCACGGTCTTCTCCAATGAGTCCTTCCTTCTCATTAGGTGGACAAAGTATTTGAGACTTCCCCTTGCAAGAACTAAATCTCTATTCCGTAAGCAGTAGGTCCTGCTTGTGCAACACAATTAGTGGAATGCACTGCTTGTGGAAGTGAATCAGCAAGAGCATAAGCACCCTGTTAGGTACTGCCTATAGAATTTGTAGCCACACAAACTGAGGGACAATTAAGGAAACAAGTGAGGGCCTTAAGTAAAAAAGAAAACAAATGAGACCTTGCCACAAACAAATAAACCCACACAAAAAAACAAACAAACAAACCGGAAATGCTAACAACAACTGCAAGGCATGAATTTACTGCATCATAAATACATGAATACTAAGCTATAATAGCAACAGGGGTACAATGCCTTTTCATTTTAGGGGACTCATCCATATAGTATCCAGTTTTATTCATGAATTCCAGTTGTGCAGCATCTTGCACAATCATTATCAATGTGCACACTGTTCTCCATGGCAGATGGACTGCATGTGTCTCTAAAAATGCCAGACCCACTCATCCCCCAGTCATTCACACTGCACTTAAGGCCACTCCAGTAGCCTTTGAGATGATGGGCAAGGAGACATCAATGGGCCCTTTTGAAAAAAAGAACTCCAGAATGCTGAATAGAACACAGTCTTCTTACATATATGACTAACAGCATGATCCTTAGTAAGTTCAGCTGAATGCACTGGCATATCTGTAGAGTAGGATTGTACTTTAACTTGTAGGTTAAAGAAGAGCTGCAACTTCCAGCATCCTTCCTATGCTATGCTAGCTAGCACTGATGGGAGCTGCAGGCCATGGAGGGCCACAGGTTACCCAGCCCAGAGCACAGCATTACATCCTAAACATTAATCTTAGAAAGCATGTACTTACTGATCTGCAATCCACCACTTTCCTTAATTATGTGAATAAATGAACCAACAATTCTGCAAATATTCATTACAATCCCCATCTGATGTACAGGAAACGCTTGCATATTCTTATGCTTATTCAGAAAATCCATCCCTCCTTTTATACTTGAGTGAAACAAACTTTCAAGGTATTCCATATCACTCTGTGCTATTATTTCAGAAAAGCCTTCTAGCCATGTTTTAACATATGGCTCCCATCCTAGATCAACTGGGTCCTGCAAATGAATAGAATGAAAGAACAGATATTCAGAAATACACTTGTGCCATGTGTATATGTTCTATGTATTTTGAAAATCATTTGCAACATAGGAAGTACAGCACATTTCCCCTATATGACTATTTCCTATTGACTATCCATGTGCAAAAAGTTGTGTACTACAGTTCAGGGGTTAATTCTCCCCTTGCCTATAGCCTTTCCGTCATGCTCTTCAAATCTGAAGAAGGGTCCCTCACGTTTCTGCAACTATTCCAACTTCCTACTGAGGGTATCAGTCTGACAGTTCCAGGTGTACAAGACATACAGGACACACAGAGTAAAGCAAAAAAGAAAAAAAACCCAAATGCTTCACCCTGGCTGATGTGTGATGCTCAGGGTTAAAGTGCTCAGCCCTATCTGTTCAAGGATGCCCTTCCAAATAGCACCAAAGGCAGTAGCCTTGACTGCCAGACTTTTCTCTAAATTGCATAATTTAGTGCAGCAGAGGCCAATTTTCATGAAAAAAAGACAGGGATGTCTCGTGTATGCTCTGGCTGGTGCAAAATAGCCCTGATGGTCACTTCAGAGTCATGAGATACAACAGTGAATAGATTGGGTATATGCAAGTAAAGAAGTTATGCGGAATTGCTTCTGGGGAAGGTCAACTTCAACATCCCACACACTGAACCAGAGCATTGCAATGTCTATAATCTGTATTTTAAAGAATGGCAACATGTAGGATTACTCTTATTATTTTGATGCAAGATTGTATGTAAGATTATAATTACTAAATTCGCTGTTTCATGGAATAGCAAGTACTGAATTCACAGTCTATACATTCACATTTATACATTCAAGAGGTAAGTCAGAAATTGAAGACAAGTGAAAGCAAGGATAACAAGACTTAAAGCCAGGAGCTTTTGGCTCATTCCCTTTCAGTGGATAATCGTAAGGTTGCTATAAATGGATTGAGTTCACTGTTCCAGAAAGGTCTGTTGCACCTTAGTCTAATAATATTATTCCAAAATAAACAGCCTATGTTGTCAGATTAACAGTTATTCTTAGTAGCTAAATGCACACACAACACTTTAAAGGAAAAGGGAGACACAGCAAAAGACCATGAAATGTTATAGGCAACAGTAGGCCTGTCACAGCTTTATGCAGAGTCCAAATATATATTAGGAAAAAATATTAACTATGCTGATAATATCCAACATAAAGGACAATAAATCCTCCTGACTCTATGCTCACAAATATTTATTATGGGGTATATCTATTAACTGTATCCAAATATATTATTTCCTCTGAAATTGAACTGTTACACTTTTTTAAAAAATTAGTAACACATATAATTAGCAGGCATTTTTTTATTTATTTATTTTTATTTATATTGCAATTTATATCCTGCCTTTTTCCTACAAAGGGCTCAAGGCAGCTCACATCATTCTCCTCCTCCATCTTATCCCCACAACAACAACCCTGTGAGGTAGGTTGGGCTGAGAGTCTGTGACTGACCCAAAGTCACTCAGTTGGCTCCATGGCTGAGCGGGGACTAGAACCCAGGTCATCTGAGTCCCAGTCCCATGCTCTTAACCACTACACCACACTGGCTCTAATTAATTTAATTAACTTGGCATGTTTGCTGAGAATGTTGAATGAAAAGACCAAGTGAGGTCTGTGGACACCAGACATCATTTTGGCTCCCACTGAAGTCCCTGACTTATCCTTTATTGCTGTTATGCACCGTCTAGATGTCTCCAACTTATGGCAACTGTATGAATAAAAGTCATCCATATTGTCCTATCCATGGCAGCTCTGTTGGCTCCTGTTATGGATTCAATTAATCTTTAATTTGGTCTTCCTTTCCCACTTCTGCCTTCAACTTTCCCTAGCATGATTGTTTTCTCTTGTCTTCACATGATGTGAGCAAACCCACTTGTTTGTCTTTCTGTCAGTCCAGGATATTGGCAAAACTCTCCTCCAAAACATGTTTCAAACACATCCTTTTCTTCCTGTCAGCTTTCTTCACTGTCCAACTTTCATACCCTTACATAGTAATTGGGAATACTGTGCTGTCCTGGCCTTTGTCTCCAATGAAATCCTCCTACCGTTTTTAAGAACAACAGCAGCAACCAGGTTTCTTGCTGGCTCCTGGGATGGCTTCAAAGCAAAGTGACGCCCTCCAGCCACTTGCATCTTCTTTTCCCAGGGAAGCCGCTGGGCGACACCTGGGGTCAGAGACTTCTTAGGTGATAGAAGTGGCAGTTGCTGCAGGCTGCTACTTTCCTCTGACGTGTGCCCATTTGGTGGTGGTGCACAAGAAATTCTCTCAAATTGCCAAAAAATCCCACACACCCCAAGGTGTCTGTGAAAAATAATCAGGTAACTAAGGAGCATAAATAGTCTTTTTTTTTTTTAAAGATACTGACCACATAAACCATGGCACATCTACTAACAGTAGCAGGGCTGGCCTGAGAGAGGCTGTCCACCTCAAATACCATTCTGATTCCTGGTGATAAATAGATTCTTTCACCATTAGCAAGACACAACATTCTGGTGTCATCTAGCACGGAATTTAAATTTTCTATCCAAGATGGATCTACTGGCCCATCCAGGATAATCCATTGCCAGTCAGTGATGGCTTCATCTAAAACAAATAAGCAAACAAACACACACACACGTGTACACACACACTTGTTAGAATTTCCAGCAATGTGTGTCAAGAAAGAAACAGAATAAGAAAACTGTAAAAGAAAACAATTTAAAAGAAAGTTAAAAACTTTTTAAAGGTTCATGCAAGTAATTTATTACTCTGGGAAATTATCTTCTAAAATTTACTCTCAAATTAGCTGATAATTAATTTGGAGGAGAAATTATAATGTCATATATAATAGGATATAACATTCATAGTATAATAACTTTTGGACAAAGGAATCCTAAGTTGGTGTGGTGATGAGACTCATAATGGGACCACTGCTGGAAACCCCTGTCAGAGTATAAGCAGCCAAGAGGGAAGTGAGGAACAAGTTTGCAGCAGTTTTTCTTCTGGTAGTTCCCACTGAAAAAAACACTTCCTATTTAAACAACAGTTGCTACAAACCTGCTAGCAGATTAATTTCTTTATATCAAATATCAGAAACAGCGAATATGAGCTTTGGCTCTTATTTGAAACTGTGTGCAGAGCCAAAGAACTAGTAGATAATTAGTAGCAACATTAATTTTATAGCCAGTTGATAATCTAATCTTGCACACCATAAATTGATTTTATCACTTTTATTCATGCTGAAATGTATCCGAGGAACAGCAGCTCTTCTGAGTTCAAATGACCTATGGTGTATGACATTATATTTCATAAAGAATTGTAGGAAAGCATGCTCCATGACTGAATAACTACTAAAATATTAAAATATTGCATAACTTGGACCTAAACAAAGAGAAGATAAGGTTATATAAGCCATACTTGTATTTTCTGTTGGTTGTGTTTCATCAGTTAGGATTGCATCAGCTGTAGTCACTGTGTTCAGCTACAAAAGAAAAGTTGCAACTAATTACACTGAATATTATTTGACAAAATAAATTTGAGAATTTATATACCAAGTTGATAATTTCAAAAGTAAACACAATGCTTGTTTTTCTTTTCCTAGACAAATCAAGTATATTTACAATACCATATTTTCAACTAATGTGGCCTATTTCTGGGAGGCTCCCTGACTATCATTTTTTGTTGCTATGTGCCGTCAAGTCATCTCCAGCTTCTGGCAATCCTATAAATTAAAGCTCAAATGTCCTATCCATAACAGACTTGTGCAGCTCTTGTAAATTCCAGGCTCTGGCTACCTTTATGGAGTCAATCCATCTGAAACTGACAGGTACATGAAATTCCTTGATTTTCTGATAAATATGATTAACCACAGAAAAGTCTAATATAAAGAAGAAGAAAAAAACCAAAAGGTTACGGAATGCTTCTACACAACTGACTATAGAACTGGATTCAAAGAATGCTTCTCAATGGCACCTTCTCAAACTGGGGAGAGGTAACCAGCAAGATACCATAGGGCTCAGTCCTGTGCTCTTCATAGTTATTTATGACTTGGGCAAGCAGGTGCTGGGAACCCTGATCAAATCTGCAGATGGCCCAAAGGAGTAACTAATACCACGGAAGACAGAAACAAAATTCAAAGGGATCTTGATAGCCTGGAGTGATGGGCTGAAAGCAACAGAATGAAATTCAATAAGGACAACTGCCAAGTTCTATGTCTACAGCTGCAAAAAAAAAAAAAAAAAAAAAGGCATATGCTATAGGGGCCTACATTAATCAAAGCATAGGTTCAAAATCACATGAGGTACAAGCTCCCCTCTTTTTGGCACTAGTTAGGCTCCATCTTGAGTATTGTTTCCAGTTCTGGGCACCACACTTCAAGAGAGTTGCAGAAAATTTGGAAAAAGTTCAGAGGCAGGCAATAGAGATGATCAGAGGACTGGAAACCATGCACTATGAGAAGCGATTGAAATAACTGGACATCTTTAGCCTGGAGAAGAGAAAAATATATGATAGCATTTTCCAACAGTCAGTTTCCAGGTTCCAAATGAGTTCTGTTCTTGAGAATGTCTTTAAGCCAAATTTGTTCAATAACTGAACTCGGGTTCCATCAGGTATTGGTCCAAGAGTTGTTAAGTGAAGGTGACCTGGCCTAATCTGCGGTGCTGCGACCTTCTTCTTCTCTAGAATCTGATTTGTTAGAATTATTTATAAAATATATTAAATGCATAACTTTGTTTTCTCAGTGCAGTGGGTTGACTCTTTTTTACCTCAAGCAATCCCCTATTCTGAAAAGAAATTGAGTAAGGATTAAAGATGGCTCCCTGGCATCAAACCAGGTCTGCTTACTTGCTTCTGATGGTCTATTCTCTTATCTTTCTCAATGTATAATGTTGAGTCACTTCACAACTATTTCTTACCTCTGTTTTAAAATCTTTATTTTTCTATCATAGTACACTGCTAAATGAGTCAGAATACTGCATTAGCTTTACTCTATTGCAGTATTTACTCTTTACAGAATTTGCAATTCTAGATCACGAAACCAAGAAACAAACCCAGAAATTCCAAAATTTCTATAGTGTAACACAGAAGTCTGCACAGTGTGATACAAAACATCAATGCCATTATAATTACAAAAATGTTGAACTCACAGTGTACAAGTCTTGCATTTCAGAATTTGTACCAATGCCTGGTTCTTTCTTTTTAGGCTTTTTGCCTGCAAGTCGGGCAAACGTTCGAACTGCTGATGATAACAGACCATCTGACCATTCCATGGTGCTAGTATTTGTCTCTCCAAAAAGTTCACCAAGAGTAACACACTTTGGATTTATAACAAAAGTGTCCACTTTGCCTTTCTTTAAAGAATTCTGAGAAGAACATACACCCCCACATACATAATGATTATTTTTCATCAACAATGATTACTGTCGTTTTTATATTAATACAAACATTAAAAAAACAAATCAATAAGGTGAAGCCATTTCTGTTGTGCATGCTCTGTCACTAATTGCTTTAATTTGGGGAGAAAACACTGATTACATCCTTACTGAATAGATAGAGTAGAGCTAGCTATTGAGTAGAGCTAGCAATTGAATTATTTATACAAAAAGATTCTGGAAATTCCCCAGATTTGTACCAAAGCCATTTGGGATGGATTTCATAAACACTGCTCTTTACTAATGTAATATTTATTAAATTCATAAAGCTCGTGTTAATCAAATTGTCAAAATCCATATAGAAAAAACTAAATGGATAAGCTGAAACAGTTTGCCCAATCCTCCATCCAATTTGCAGGCAAATGGAATTCCATTTTTGGAGGAAGGATGTATAATTGCAGCAGGAGGGGCATCAAACTTCTCTATCTTGTTTTCTTTTTTCTTTTGATTTGACATTTTTTAAAGCTGCCACTACAGTATCAATGACAATGCACAATGGAGCTCTGAAAATTGTGGCTCAGAACTGTTCTCCTACTTCTGTGTTACTGAAGCTGCTGGCTTTAAAACAGGCAAAGAGAGAGAGGTCTTTCTGTAAGAGGCTTTTATCCTGTCACCTTACCAAGGTTTTTGCTTCCAAATTCTTTGCCAGATTAAGATCTGTTCCTTTATATATACATTTCCTCCAGGAATTTTCTTTCTCTGCCTTTCTATATTTCCATTTCACAACCACTAGCTGGCATTCTAGTATAGCAGAATGTTGTGTGCAAACATTGCAGACTTTTCATGCTGCCATTCCCAGTAATGTCAGATTTTCTTCCATGTTAAAAAAGGGGGGAAATGGAAATGGATGCAAAGAATGGGAGAGACCTTGGAGGATAATCATGCTATGCAAATACCCACAAGTCACTGTGAGTGAAGAATCATGCGTGCAGAACAAATGGCTTCTACAGAAAGTCTCTTGAAGAGAAAGAAATCAGAAAGAAGAATGGGAGGTGGAACAGGTAAAACACACAGCAGCAATTGTAAATCTCTTCCTCTCTCTGAATGAATGAATGAATGAATGAATCCATTTGGCCCCCATAAATCATTTTGCCTGCCTCCTTTTGCATTACTTCATGGATTCAGCTGATATTCTGTCCCCATAAAATGTCTTAAATAGGCGCTCAATAGCAAATGTAAGAATAAAAATGCTGTTTCTACAGCATATAAAAGGATCCTATGTGACTGTGTAACCCCTATGAAGCATGTTATTTTGTGTGTATATAGAAAAAATATAGGCAACTATACCTAGTAGGAATTTGCTCAAAATTTGAAGGGCTCAACACGGGAAATAATAAATGGGCAGAACTGCACCATAAATATATTTCTTAAATTTAGGATTCCTTGCTTGCTGCACTTTCTGAATAAGTTTCTACACTTATCATACTCTCCCATATTGTATCAACCCATTGCACTTTAGTTGGTTGCTTTGGACACTCTTAATTACACACTATACATGGCTTTGCAGGTGTACACAATAGGGTAAGGAGGTTTCTATGCAGGCATCCAGGATCTTTGGGTTCAAAAATATTCTCCCATGTCCTAAAATATCCTTCTCACCAAGTCAGTTTATCTGGAATACAAGACTGCTCTCTTAAACTACTTGTTAAAAATAGGATAATTTTTCATAGCAAAATATATTTGAATGATAAATTTAAAAATGACATGGGAAAGCAATTGGGGTTATCTCACTACTACGGCAATAACCAACTGTGTTATTTCATACTCGTCAGACATGAATACATACTAAATATATCAATGAACAGCAGTCTTAAAAACAGATCTAGATTTTAATAAATAAAATATAAATATATAATATATATAACTCCATACCAGAACAACATCAATTTTTGTACCACTGTCCATTTCCATCAGTGGTAAGACCATCAAGGCTTTTTCTAAGATTGATCTAATTGTAGTCTTCCCTCCACCTGTAGGACCTACTAGCATCACACCAACACAAGCCTGCAAAAACACTTTAAAAGATTATGTCTTGCATATTAAAATTTCTTTGGGCACAATCATAGTCAGATAAAAAATGACTGAGTTCCACATAAAAACTACTACAATTCTCAACATTCTGGAATGCTGGGAATTAATAGGACAGATTTTTCTATATGTATTTCTAAGAACATTAATCCATCTCTTACAACATGTACATTTCTATACTGTACAGGAGTTTCCTTTTCCTTTGTTCACCATATCAGTTAGTACAATTTTTACTGCAGTTTATTGAATTACATCTAATGGCTATAATATAAGAGTTCTCTGGGAAACACTGAGTTGTCCAGAATATTTAAATCCCATAACACTTTAGAGCTAATGCTTTGTTTATTATTATTTATTATTTCAATTTGTATGCTACTACAATAGCATATATCTGGGCTCTCTGCGCAGCTCACAATATGAAAACAATTTATCACAGGATAAGCTGTACTTACCACAATTTGGTTGTAAAACTGAATAACCTTCGCTATCTGACTTTCCCATGGCTGCAAACCTAACAGCTGTATTGCAAGAGATATTGCGCCCTAAAGTTTAAAAACATCTATTGTTAGAACTATAATAATACTTCAAGAATAGGAGCAAAAAAAATTGTACCTTATATTTTGCTAAGAAAGATTCATTGGCCTGATTCGCACAATGCAATAACCCTCAACAATCCAAATCCTGAGTGGTTTCTGCAGGGTGGTTTATTTTTAATGAACAAGTTGACCCATGGCTTGTTTTAGGGTTCCTTCTACCAATAATGGCTTGTTCTATTCTCCAAGCTTGACAGGGTGATTTTATACGAAACAGTTGCTAGAAATGGTTACAGAACCTCTTGGCAAGAGCAGAAAAAGTTCACTTTCATAGTCTTGCCAGTGAATTACCTTCCACCAGTGTCAACACTGCACTTTGGAACAACCATCATTAGTTCCTTGGCTTTTTACTTTGACCAGGCAAGACTACACATACTGGATAGCCACAAGAGTGCACTTGCATACTTGCAAAAAAGGGTCAAAATTATCTTTTAAAAATTGTGCCATTTTCAGAGGCTGAAAAATGTAACTCTAATTGTGCTTTTTAAGGCTCTGATTTTGATTTGATTTGATTTTTATGGAAGCAGATGAAAAAGTAGTGGCAAATGGAGTAGGAAGGGCAGACAAAATCGGTTTTGCTATAAAGGACACTGGGATCTTGTCTGAAGAAGGACACCAGGCCATGGCAAATCCAATTAGCACTGTGGGTTTTTCAGTCACACACAGCCCACCAAAGCTTAGTGTGAAGTGCAAACATGCCTGCTTTCTTTGGTAGTGAACCAAACCACCAAACTCATAACCACAGCTGAAGATACCACTGCCCCTCACCACGGGTGACTTTCACTGCCCTCATTCAGGGATTTGAATATGCTCCCTTGCTGTGAAAATAACTAAAATCAAATTTCAACTGTTGATGGTTTTCTTCTTACCCCTTAGATATCATCACATTTCTATCTAAAATATTATTTTTTGAATGATCACATTTGGGCTGGGTAAAAATGCATATTTCATTACCTCTAGTCGCTTGAGGCTAACTTTTGGAACTCTCATCTCTGGAAACAGATCTTTCATAATGTCCTCAAAAAGTAAAACATCCTCAGCAAGAAATTTTGGTAAATTTACTTCTTTCAGCACACTGAACATGATGAAAATTTCTTCTACTGCAGAAAACTTTTTTTTCTTATTTCTACATAAATTACAAAGACATACAAAACACATACTGTATTACTTATTCTTTTGATTTAAAGAGACAAGATATTTTTTAATTGTCTTTTGATGCATGGAACCTACTGCATATTTTAAAGCAAATATTTTTCAAGGTATTTATTGGAGCTTATAATGCTCTCTAACCTTAAGTTTGTTGTTGTTGTTAGTAGCAAAGTCATGTCCGACCCATCGCAACCCCATGGACAACATTCCTCCAGGCCTTCCTGTCTTCCACCATCTGCCGGAGTCTACTTAAGCTCACACCAACTGCTTCAGTGACTCTATCTAGCCACCTCATTCTCTGCTGTCCCCTTCTTCTTTTGCCATCTATTGTTCCCAGCATTAGGCTCTTCTCCAGGGAGTCCTTCCTTCTGGCCAAAGTATTTGAGTTTCATCTTCAGTATCTGGCCTTCTAAATAGCAGTCAGGGTTGATCTCCTCTAGGACTGACTGGTTTGATCACCTTGTGGTCCAGGGGACTCGCAGGAGTTTCCTCCAGCACCACAATTCAAAGGCCTCAATCCTTTGGCGCTCAGCCTTCCTTATGGTCCAGCTTTCACAGCCATACATTGCAACTGGGAAAACCATAGCCTTGACTATACGCACTTTTGTTGGCAGGGTGATGTCTCTGCTTTTTAGTATGCTGTCTAGATTTGTCATAGCTTTCCTCCCAAGGAGCAAGCGTCTTTTAATTTCTTGGCTGCAGTCCCCATCTGCGGTGATCTTGGAGCCCAGGAAAATAAAATCTGTCACTACCTCCATTTCTTCCCCATCTATTTGCCAGGAAGTGAGAGGACCGGATGCCATGATCTTAGTTTTCTTAATGTTGAGTTTCAAGTCAATTTTTGCACTCTCTTCCTTCACCTGCATCAAGAGGCTCTTTAGTTCCTCTTCACTTTCTGCCATGAGAATGGTATCATCTGCATATCTGAAGTTGTTGATATTTCTCCCAGCAAGCTTAATTCCAACTGGTGATTCATCTAGCCCACCTTTCTCATGATGTGCTCTGCATAAAAGTTAAATAGGCAGGGCAACAGTATACAGCCTTGCCGAACTCCTTTCTCAATTTTGAACCAATCAGTGGTTCCATGTCCAGTTCTCACTGTTGCTTCTTGACCCGCATATAGGTTTCTCCAGAGACAAATAAGATGGTCTGGTATTCCCATCTCTTTAAGAACTTGCTACAATTTGTTGTGATCCACACAATCAAAGGCTTTAGCATAGTCAATGAAGCAGAAGTAGATGTTTTTCTGAAATTCCCTAGCTTTCTCCATGATCCAGCGTATGTTGGCAATTTGATCTCTAGTTCCTCTCCCTCTTCAAAATCCTGCCTGTACTTCTGGTAGTTCTCGGTCCACATACTGCTGGAGCCTAGCTTGTAGGATTTTGAGCTTCACTTTCCTGGCATGTGAAATGAGTGCAATGGTGTGGTAGTTTGAGCATTCTTTGGCATTGCCCTTCTTTGGGATCAGAATGTAAACTGACCTTTTCCAATCCTGTAGCCACTGCTGAGTTTTCCAAATTTGCTGGCATATTGAGTGTAGCACTTTTACTGCATCGTCTTTTAAGATTTTGAATAGCTCAGCTGGAATGCTGTCACCTCCACTAGCTTTGTTGTTGCTCAGACTTCCTAAGGCCCATTAGACTTCACATTCCAGGATGTCTGGCTCGAGGTCAGTGACCACCCCATCGTGGTTATCAGGGACGTTAAGCTCTTTCTTGTATAGTTCCTCTGTGTAATCTTGCCACCTCTTCTTAATCTCTTCTGCCTCTGTTAGGTCCCTGCCATTTTGGTCCTTTATCATGCCCATCTTTGCATGAAATGTTCCCTTCACATCTCCAATTTTCTTGAAGAGATCTCTGGTCCTCCCTAGTCTATTGTTTTCTTCTATTTCTCTGCACTGTTCATTTAAGAAGGCATTCTTATCTCTTCTAGCTATTCTCTGGAATTCTGCATTCAATTGGGTGTATCGTTCTCTTTCTCCCTTGCCTTTTGCTTCCCTTCTTTCCTTAGCTATTTGTAAATCTTCCTCAGACAGCCATTTTGCTTTCTTGCATTTCTTTTTCTTTGGGATGGTTTTAGTTGCCACCTCTTGCACAATGTTGTGAACCTCTGTCCATAATTCTTCAGGTACTCTGTCTATCAGATCTAATTCCTTAAATCTATTTGTCACTTCTACTGTATATTCATCAGCGATATGATTTAAGTCATACCTGAGTGGCCTAGTGTTTTCCCCTACTTTCAGTTTAAGCCTAAATTTTGCAACAAGAAGCTCATGATCTGAGCCACAGTCAGCTCCTGGTCTAGTTTTTACTGACTGTATAGAGTTTCTCCATCTTTGGCTGCAGAGCCCATAGTCAATCTGATTTCTGTGTTGACAGTCTGGTGATGTCCATGTGTAGAGTCGTCTCTTGGGTTGTTGGAAAAGAGTGTTTGCTATGACCATCGTATTCTCTTGACAAAATTCTACCAGCCTGTGCCCTGCTTCATTTTGTATTCCAAGGCCAAACTTGCCTGTTATTCCAGTTATCTTTTGGCTAATGCTAAAGTGGGATTTTGCATTCCAATCCCCCATGATGATAAGGACATCATTTTTGGGTGTTAATTCTAGAAGGTGTTGTAGGCCCTCATACAACCGATCAACTTCAGCCTCTTCAGCACCAGTGGTTGGGGCATAGGCCTGGATGTTGAATGAGTTAAGTTATCCCAAACCTAACCCTTGTTATGCAAAATAAAATATAAAGTTAAAAGTAATCCCCCTATGCTTAGTTCTGGCCATAAAATGCTAAAGGTCTAACACTCTTGACTACATATGCTCAGACTAAGGTCCACACATAATGAGTTAGTAAGAGATCCATGGCTGGATTTCCTGCATTGTTTTGATCAAAGCATAACATGTTGCTCATATATTTCTTCCACAAAGAAAAGAATGTGCATGTGTGACTGTGTGTGAACTCTTCAGACTGAAAATTTTATTTTGTTCTTTTCCTATGCAGAGCAGAAGTTTCCCCAGGAGCTATAAGCAATGCTCAGGTTTCGGATTAGAAGCAGATACAGGCCCAGGTCCAATTACTGTCCAGTTAGTGTTAGGAACATGATGTCAGACTGCAGCTCCCTCCCTGCACTCCAGATGTATTTTGTGCTACTGTTCACCTGAGCTGAGCCACAGAACCTGCTTTATTTCTAGAAACTCAGTAGCAAGGCTACTGAAATTGCTCATGCCAAAGTTTTGTAGAATAGACAGGGGTGCTGAAAACCCTTGGAACTGTTTGATGGTGGCGGTAGGTTGACTGTGCTTGTACTCGGGGAAAACTCTTCAGAGCAATGGCTCTGGGCAGGCATGAAAACTGTACAGAAGAATGAAACTAGGGCTTTGGGGAAAGCCAGTTACTTTCATTTCTGTGCAAGAGCAGCTTTTCCATTAAATAATTGAACATCACCAACATTTGGCACAGCACTAGTTCTATGTCTCCACAATTTCCCATCTTTATGTGGTTTGTTCTATTTGTCTTACTTTTTGCCAAAGAGTCTCATGCTAGTCTCATGTAAAGTTAAAATTATCCCCCATCATGGCAGAACTGTATTTTGGATTTGATGTTTTCCAAAATGTCTTCTTCAAACAGGAATACAATTGTGTTGGCACTGACTGCAGATCTTTCGCCATTAAAGGGTGGTGCTAAAAGTGTTGTACTGGGACTATGGCATGCTCAGTACATCATCTTCTATGCAGAGGTCATCAATGCTCAGGAAATGCCCCAGTTATGCAGATAAACTTACTGTGTTTTTAACTCCTGTCTCTTCTGACCAGCTCTTAGCAGCACAGTTTTGATGGCTCTCATGCCAAAATCATAATGATCCTAGAAATCATACAATAAGACCATTATTTCTCCCTGTAAGCAACTTCCTTCAACTGTCTCTATTCTGGTCAGTAGGCCACAGATTTCTCTAAATTCTGGCAAACTTACAAACAGAACATCCTTTTCTTATTCTCCCCAGTTGATCAGTTCCAGATGTGATATCTAAATTAAGCTGTAGCAACTAAACACAAACCAATCCACATCCTTACATCCTATGGATTAACAATAACAAATGGCCCAGTCTCTGCGGCATCCAATTAAAAAAACCATAGGAAGTGTTATGGATTTCTGGGCTGCAGACAATGCCTTCGTGTTGCCTGAATAATGCACTTTTCATCCAGAGTAAACCTTATCATGCTGTGCATACTGTCTCCCCTCTCTCTGCACTGTCACCATCTAAATCACAACCGCTGTTAGCCTCACCCATTTTTTCCACTCTGTATTTCTTTCTTTTCTCTGTGCAGCACCACAGGACATGATTCCCCCTTCTCTTTTCAACTGTTTCAATGGCCACTTCTTGCTGCAGCCCAATCACTGTGATGGTTTTCTGTATGTTCTAAAGTATGTTCTTATATCAGAGGCCTTGAATTCTTCTGGTCAAGCTTTCATGGTATACTGTTTTTCCTTGCCTACTGCCTTTCCTTTCATACCCTAACAATATTGTCCTTATCTTAAGTATCCTCAGAGTTTTATACCACTGTATAAATGTGAAGACTGAATGGAGGTTGGCTGTGCTGGAATTGCTAAGAAAAAGAAACTGGTGAGAACTGGTTATCTTAAATGATAGGCTGGGAACTCTCCAGTCGATGCCTCCTCTTGAGAGAGCTGGCTGAATAAAGATGTAAGTGCACAATTCTCCCAAACTCTAGAAACAACATTCGATCAGATGCTACAGCCTGTACAGTTTCTGTCCCTGAGAATACTCCAAGAAACCTTAAATACAAAACTGGTATTACTTGGATTCAATCCGGCAGCTTGTGCCCAGGAAAAAGGGTGGTAAAATATAAGAGGGGCTGGACAGCTGATCTCCTGATAGCTTGGGAAAGGATGCAGAACTTAGTAGAGGTGGGGGAGACAGCATCTTTGGGTGTCTGGATCGGCATGACCTGTGACTGGGGTGACGTGTGGATAATGTGGTGAGATAAGTGAGTCAGTTTCCATCCAGTCTAATTTTCAATACAATTAATACAATTTGCATTGTTATATCTTGTTCTTTTTTTCACTAGATTGTTTACTATGTCATGTTTTATTTTTTTGCTGTTTGCTGCTAGTAACTTTTTGCTTATTCACTTGCTCATGGACACTTCGAAAACAAAGAAATGCATTGGATACCCACCAATCCCACCAAAGCTAACATGTTTAACACAGAGGCTGTGGGGTGGCGGGGATATGATGAAGACGAAATCATTGCTATGCTGAAAAATATATTGTTGGAGATATGTCAAGCTGAAGGAGGTATCTCAGCAGTCTAAGAAGATGGGACAGCTCTCAGTCTCAGTCAAAACACTACATGGATCTGTGGATTCAACTGATGTACAAAGATGATGGACACAGAAGCTGCACATTTGTAAGACATTGCTCTTCTGCGTGGTTTGCAATGGCAGCTTCCCATAATACAATTTCAGCTCATGTTTCACTTTTGGAAGCTGCTCAAGAAGAGCTAACTTAGCCTGTGTGAATAGCTCCAGAGGATTTGTTGATTAATTATGTTATAAGTAATTTTATTTCCATATAGACCAATAGCTGAAGTTTGCTATCTCTCATCCATTCTGTTGTCACAGACAGACAATAGTTTAGCACAACCACAATCTCGTCTGCTGAAGACGGAAAGGAGAAATAGCCTATATGTCATCAGTATACTGATGATAATGCACTGCAAAACTCTGGATAAAACACTCCACAGTCTTATATAGATGTTAAATATGCTTGAGCATAACTGAAGACAGAGAGAGCCATATCTTATTAGGTTGTAAAGCAACTTGCTAAGGCATTGCCATCCTTCATCTCTGGACATGCAAAGTCCAAAACAGAGCACTCCATGTAGGCAGCTCCCCTACTGACACAAAAATTGGTGATGTTTCCCTCTACCTGTTTTGCAAAATCAGTGCCTGCAGGGGCTTAATGAGTCCTGCCTGAGAAGAAAGTCAGAGTGCAATATAGTTGAATAATAAAAAATCAAATATTTGCCATATTTTACCTGCTGTGACAGTTGCTTGCTACAAAGATGATAAAGATTTACAATCTTTCCCGAGAGTGTTCTTGCTGATTTGAAACCTTCTGAAAACAGCATTATTTCAGCAATGAGTTCATAGTCCGGGACCATCATTGAGACAGGGCGGAATAATGATTTTAAGTTGTCTGGGAGTTCTACACGTCCTTTGTAACTTAAGAGGAAAAAAGGAAAGTCATCAGGTCTATTTTTGAAATTAGAAATTAGGAGCACATAAAAGAATTAGCTTTAATATTTCCAAAAAATAGAAACAACTGACATCCAGGCACACTATTGCATATCAGTGTAGGGACATGACACCAGCAATATAGCTCTGGGAGATGACTGTATGGACCATTAGCACTGTATGTGTATGAGATCTATTGTTAAGGGAAAATGAATGAGAATTTATGTGCCAGTGAAAATTGACCTAATGTTCTAATTGAACTATTGTTCTAAAAATGACTCTTGAGATAGGCCCTGAAGGCAAAATGGCTGTTTCATGAAGTAAAATCCAGATGGAGCTGTAGGCTAGTGAGAGTGCACACACCATGTGTGTAGAAGGTCCTGAGTTCAGTTCCTGATATCCACAGTTAGGGCTGCAAAAGATTTCTTCTTCCAACATCGACAGTCAGTTTTGGTAGTGCTGAACTATATGGACCAATATTTATACCAAAAATGGTTTTGCTAGCTCTGATAGTGCCTATTATTACTTACCCAGGATTCATGGTAATAAAGATTGCACAGAATGGTTTCAGCCGGATTTCTTTTCCTTCTAGAATAAATCTAGGACAGATTAGTTAATTGAAGATATATTTTTCTGAAGTTAGAAAATGGATCATATTATCACTAAAACTTCTGTACTAAAACTATTTAATCTGTTTTTGAATTCAGCTCATGTGTTACTGCATAGCTGAGGTTTACAGGGCATTGTATATAGATACAAAATAGAACACAATAAAATCAAATCTAGCAACAAACAAACAAAAAACCAGTCCCCCTCACTATACAGACTTTAAATAACAAAGACCAAAAAATAAAAAACAAAAATATTTTGTTTGGATTAGATCTGGAAGGATTTTTTTTTTAAATCCACAACAGTTAAGAACACTTCTAAAATTGTAGCTTTAAGATACACCTGGACAATAAACTTTATACCAAGGTTCGTAGCATGCCCACCTGCCACCTGCCCACCCCCAATTCTGTAGTCTCTGACCGAGTCTGATTCAGAGTTGGAAAGATCTGATTTAGGGCCTGGTCAAGTTTTGAACTGTCAAGATGCTGGCAATGTGTCTCTTCCTGGTTTCATCGTGCACTGAAATAAGGGGAAAGCTGCTACTCCTGTTTCCCTCGGACCATCACTAGCTTGGGAAAGATCAGCTGGATTGCCACTACTTGAAGAACATTCCTTGATAAGGAGCAAGGCCAACAGCCTCCCCCAGATAGAACTGACAGCTGTAAAGGGAGGAGAGAAGGCAGTATATGAAATGCAGTTCTTGACTTAGGCTGGGATCTCCTGTAGGGTTAGGCTGACAAGCAAGGAACTTGATTCGCCTCACCGTTGCATGAAAGCTGCAGCAGTGGCACCACAACTTCTAGTTACAATGTTGTCAATCCCGAATATTCCCTTTATCGGACAATTCATGTACCCCAAACTTTTGCATGTTTTGAATCCTGTGCACTGGGATCCTGAGTTGGATTATACCGCTATACTTTAAGCTCTTTTTTCTGGCTCCTGCTCGGATAATCTGTCTGAAGGACTCAGATCCATGGACTCTGGTGAAGTGCTTATGAATCCTGTGTTAATAAAGGACTTCACCGTTTCTTTTACAAGTAGTTGCTTGCTGGTGCCAGGAGGAAGCTGAACTTGGAAGCTCTCGCCCTTCATATGCACAGGAAGACCTCATCCTGCAGTGCAGCATTGCTCCTATCAATCTCAGAGGTGGTACTGGGCTCCTTTTTCCCCACCACAGAACCCTGTACCCACATGCAATGAGTAGTCTGGCCATAAGGTATTATTTCTTTTTAAAAACAGTTTAAAATAAATACCTGACAGTCTGGCTATCTTTAGCTGCCTTGATTGCCTGAATCTGTGAAGCGATTGCAGAAAGGACTTCTATATCTATCCGATTGAATTCATCAAAACAACACCATGCTCCAGACTGGACCAGCCCACAGAACAATTTCCCCATCACCTAAAATATACATATTTTTTTCAGTAGCACCAAGTTAGGAAAATGAGAACATATGCACAAGAGATACTAATGATTTTGAAAATGGACTAATTTCTTTAAAGACAGGGAAAAATAAAGATGATTACTCAGATGATGAGATTTATTTGCTAAAACAAAAAACAGGCTTTTTAATTGTTAGTTTATTGTTTTTGTAAAACAGTTGTAATATACCTACATTCAGCTCAGTCAATGGAAAAAGAACTGGGTTAACATAATCTAATGGGTTAACTGGGTTAACATAATCTATCCTGAAAGCTATACAACTACTATGCATATTTAAATGTTTGAGTTGCATTACTATGCATACTGATTTCAGATTGCAAGTCTCAAATAATGGCACAAAGCCCTAGTAAATAAGCATTAGATTGCACAGTTGTTCCCTTTAGTGTTATTTGAATTTGGCCATGAATAGCTGAACTGCACATTTTGTTGGTTAATCAAGGAGAAAAATAAGATATAAAAGAAATAAATCAAACTGATTAAATAATCTCAGTCCTTACAAAAAATAATAATGCATGATGTTAATTTCCTGACAAGGAATGTATGATATAGTGTGCCCTCTTTCTGTGTGATCAAGTTTAGCTCCTGAAGTTTTAATCAAGCATTATAGTAGAAGTAGCTATTAACAGAGAGATTTATGGGATGTTGCACTGAGAGCTTTTCCTGAAATGCTAGAGGGGCATTCAGGGCCACAGTAGCAAAGAAGGTATTCGCCTTGGGTGTGTGAATTGTCTGCTTCTGGTATGATTGTCTTGAATCTGGTATGATGAATCTGGGTAGGAATCTCTTTAATCCAGATGATAGGTTGGTTTCAAAGTGTAGTTTCTAAACTTGCAGATGTGTTGTTTCTTGCTTCCTTACAGTCTTTCAGGTTTTTCTGTAATCGACTCCTTGGACTTGCAAGTCTTGCCTGGCTCCTCTTTCTCTTGGAGACTCAGTTGCAGGTCCTTTTGTACTACTGACCTTCAAGGTAATCTGCATGTCTTACAGGTTTCTTTAAATTGCTAACCACTCTCCTCTGATAAAGAATCACAGGCATAAACATGGGAGCGTCTAGGCTGAAGTTTCAGAGAGTTAGGAAGGTTAGCTTGTGGTTGAGCTCTCCATGCCCCTTCCTTGACACTGAGGCTGGATTTTAAGTCCAGTATTGGCCTTTATTTGTGGATGCAGCCACTTGTTTCTTTTGCCTTCACTATGGTTCTTCTAACTAGTATCACTTGGAATGGTCCTTTTTATCTGGATATAAGGAATTTCTTTTTTTGCAGGCCTTGGCATTGGAAAGGCAGCACAACCCCCCCCCCTTTTTTTTTGGAGGGGTGAAATGGGTTAAAGCACAATTTTATCTTGGACTCAGCAATTTATTCCAGTAGAAATCTGTTTTGTTTTGTTTTGTTTTTCTGGAGGGAAGAGGTTGCTAGCACATCACCTTGTTCTCTGATCTTATTTTCTACATGTTCAGAGGTTCCTTACAATGTAACTCAGCTGACTGTAGCTCTTCCACCTCTGAAGTCCTTGGCATTCAATCACAGACTGAGAACTTGGTATGGATCTTTCCACCAGGGCTGATGGGGATCTTTCCTCTGTTTTTACAAGAGGAAAACTCCAGGAAGAAGGTATTTTCCCTTTTTTGTCTTACATATTTGCCTGCATTGTAAGCCTCACAAACTGGGTACACACAACAATAGTTTTAAACTAAGAAACAAGACTTTGAAATTGACCTAGTCAGCCTTTCTGTCATCTGGATTAAAGAGATTCCTACTCAGATTCATTATACCAAATTGAAGAAGAACTTCAATTCCAGAAGCAGACATTTCACACAGCCTACCCTGCGGGCTAGAAAGAGTTGTGACTGCAGTCTGCACAGCAATAGCCAGATCCTGGTTTCAACTGCAGGGGTTCCTATTTGGTGTTTGTCTTCAGGGAATGGGAACTGAGTTGGTGTCAAATCACCACCTCACTGTCTAGGAGTCTCCACACCTGAAGTGATCTCAGCTTAGATCTTGAGCACTCCCAGGATTATTGCCCTGGAGAATTTCAACAACATTCATGCTGAAGCTGTCAGAATTACTATCAGCTCTGTAGGGAAGACACACCATCAGAAGCTTATAGATTTCTGTGTACCCTTGAAGAGTTTCCAGTTAGCCCTAGTCTCTGGAGATGACACAATTGGCCAAACCATCTATATTGGTCTTTCCCAGGAGCAATTTCTGGGATGTGGGTTTCTTAAGCAAAGGCATAGTAACCAGACAAAGTGAAATGACATTTCAAAAACAAGTTTAATGACATTTTTAAAATAACTTAACTTTCTAAACCTTAGATTAAATAAAATTGTGCACCATACCTTATCATCCAAGCCTTCAGAACAGTTAAAGGAAAGACAGAGTTTTCCCAAGGCCTTATAAAAGAAGACATACTTGGTTTAGAGCAAAAACAATTACATGCGTTTTATCTGACAAACCAGGAATGTAATAAGTGTTAAATGTGGAATAAGACCATATATTTTCAGTTTTAATTTGCCAGTTACCTTGAGTATGCCCTCAAAGCTGGCACTGGGGTAGGGCATTCTGGGAGGTAAGGGTAGAGTGGGATTCCTCTAGGAAATGATGTATCTAGAAGGCCTTCTCCCTCTCCTCCTCATAAACAGGTGCAAAAGATCTAAAGGGCCAAAACTAGCCCTCTGCATCTTCTGCAGGGCAGAGAAGCATGGACATGATCTTCCCCTTTCCACTTCTCCCACCCTTTATTTTTGTTGCTATATGCTGTCAAGCTTTCTATGACATATGGCAACCCTATGGATGGAAGCCCTCCAAAATGTCCTGTCCTTGATAGCCCTGCCCAGCTCTGGTCAACTCAAGGCTATGACTTCCTTTATGGAATTGATCCATCTCATAATAGGTCTTCTGTCTTCAACTTTTCCTAGCATTACTGTCTTCTCTAGTGAGTCTTGCCTTCACATGATGTGCCCAAAGTACAACAGTTTCAGTTTCGCTGTCCTTAATAAGATGTCTGTAATGCTCTGAGTTCAGAGGGCTAGGGACATCCCTGTTGGATTATGTCCAAAGACATAATCCTCTTCCTCCATCACAATATGTTAGCATTAAGAGCAGAGATCATAAGCCACAACACTATCTTGCCCGCTGCAGATTTAAAAACAAATCCTTACTGTTAGATATATGCAGAATGCACAGTTGCTAAAAAGAATTATATTTTGATATAAACTCCACACTTACCTTTGATAGATCTTTGACTGTTTCTGTTTTTCCTGTACCAGCTGGACCAGCAAGACAGCCTCCTAGATTTAGCTGTAGTGCTCCAGTGACAGTTAACCAACACCGATCTGTGAGCGGGGTGATAACCAAGCGTGGAGAACAGCCCAAATATTCATAACCATATTCAAAGGAGGCATAACCTTGAATGACCTTACATGGGCTGAGTTCATGCCATTCATAACGCAACTGCCTGTAATAAATAAATAAATAAAACCTTTTCTGTTAACATGTGCTGTAAACAGATTTTTAAAAATCAAAACAATAAGTGTACAAATCTTTAACATTATCAGTATGTATTGTGATTTTTCAATATTTATAAAATTGAAAGGCCAGCAATTCAACAAGAGCTGTGTTATATGTTAAAGTTAGTGAAATGATACAAACTCTAAACATAGGAGAACCAGTGTAGTATAGTGGCTAAGAGTTTGGGACTCAGGAGATCTCGGTTTTAGTTCCCACATGGCCATGCATTTCACTGGGTGACTTTGGGCCATTCACAGACTCTCAGCCCAATCTACTTCATGAGGCTGGTATTATGAAAATAAGACTGGGGGAGGGGAATCATGTAAGCCACCTTGAGTTCCTTGAAGGGAAAAAGGCAGGATATAAATATAACAAATAATTAATAAACATAATAAATAAATAATAAACTTAAAGAACAGATTCATCATGAGGAATATGCAAATGAAGCTGCCCAGGAATGAAAAGACACTGAACTATGGCCAATTTTGGCTCCATAAGATAGGATGCAACTTCTGTGCAGGACCTACTGCTCCAGACTCTTCTTTTAAGTTACAGTATGTTATTTAAAGACACACATGGACACAAAACAAATGGCTCAGAGACTGTCAACCATGACAAGTATTGTAGTGTTCATTTCCTAAGTGTTAGGAATTCCTAGCATACAGTGTAGAATGGTTATAATGAGAAGCTCGAAAGTTGCCAGGGAAGCTTGTCCTTGTCCAGGGTATGCTAGGAAATTTAGAAAACATCTGGATGCTGTAAATTGAACATGGTATTACCCAGTATGGAGTGGTATCTAGAAGGGAAGTGAGAATCTTATTACAGCCAACACATGTTGAAACTTCTCTTTAAAACCGTAAGACTATCTTTGAATTCTAACAGAGCTTGTAGGGCCATGTGTTATTTACCAGTAATCTAATTCCAGGCATAGGGTGAAACAAATGAGAGAGGTGAAGATAAGCTATAAAAATGAAATCTTACAATTTCTAAAATGTCATATTTAAAAGATTAACAGAAAATGAAGTGTGAATAATAATACACATGAAATGGAACAAACTGAAGAAAGTAAATAAGGAGAACCCAGAAGTCTAAAAGATGTGAAAGTGCAAAAACAAGTTTAAATATAATATAAGAGAATAGAGGGAATGAGAAGGAAGGATAAATTAGAACCATAGGAGAGTAATCTTTTGTGAGTGTACTCAGTTGTCAGATATACTGTGACAGTATATTGAATATTGAGCTTTCTCCCAGGTAAGTGTATAGCTGGATAGCGCCTTGAAAGTTCTGATCAAACATTTCAGCCTTAAAGGTTTAACACGGCAAGGGGAAATTTAAGTGAGCAAAAAGCTAAATTAGTCAAAATAAGAGTGTAGATAACTAGTTCTTGAAAAAGAATCTTTCTTAGCAGAAAGAAAGTGAATCTGGGAGATGAGCAAAAGAAAAACCTTACTCATGTATAAGATATTTGAGAAGGGATCACACGGGTATATGCACTAAAATTGTACAGGGAATATATTATGAATTTAGTGCTTAAACCTTCTGCGCCTATTATGTTAAGTGTTGCTTGATGACAGTTGGGTTGATAAAATCATAGAAACTGAAATCATGGTTCCTTTCAATACAGACACTTACACCAAGATAAGATGGCTACAAATTTAGCATCTCAAAAACTGCCATGCAGGTCAATCCTATTAGAATGCAATCTCATTAAATTACATAAAGCTATAGCACAGAACCTAATCCAACTGAGTTGTGCTCTATTTCCATATGGTGTTATTAGTTTCAGTTTATGTCAACATTTCCCCTCAACACAAAGATCAGAATTTCTAAATTTACCTTGTCCATTCAAAATGTTCAACATTATAAATCTCATGATCTATCATTGTCGTTAGTACATCCCTGCAGTGGATGAACAGAATAACCAATGCCTCCAATGTAGTTTGTTTATGGTAAGGAAGAATATCTGATGCTATCTCTGCTAGTTGCTCTAGAAGGCTGATCAGGTCATCACGGCCTGCTATCATCTCCTTTTTTGGATTAGAACATCGCAGATCTGTTTCACATTCCTCAGTAAACATGATTTGACTCTAGAAATAAAAACACTATTAGCAGCAGCAGCAGCAACTTGCTTTCTTGCATTTTCTGAGTTAAACTATGGAATTTGTTACCACAAGACATAGAGATGGCCACTAAATTAGATGACTTTGACTAAGGTCCTCAGGGAGGATAAGGCGATCAATGGCTGCTAGTCCTGATGGCTATGCATTACCTCTAGCAGCAAAGACAGCAGCCCTGTATTGATGAGCAGGATTCCACTATCGCACTTGTGTCCTACTTTTGGAGTTCCCACAGCCAATATTCAATGCTAGTTGTATAGCATAGTAGTATGGTACCCAGTGCTAGCGCAATAGGAAACTACCAGATCTTAAAGCACATAGAAATGAACACAAAAAGAGGTGGATCCACTGGTGTGATGTGTTCCGGAAATGTGTTCCAGTGTTTTGCTGAGGTTGCTTTAGAAAATGTCAGTTTCCATGTTGGCACACTAGTGGTGGGTACTGGTGGCACAACAGAAATAACAGGAGTGCAGTTGTAGTACAGAATAGTGACCTTGAGTTCCAAGGGAGAAATCCGACCATAAATTTTACTTAACATAAATTCTTATTCTTGAGGAAGGCAAAAGGGCATTCAATTATCCTTCAAGATAACCTTTTCCATAAGACAAGGAAGCGGGGCTAGATGAGTACAATGCAACCTTAGAAGGGGTTCTCCAGTCTCCCAGACCAGAATGGAAAACTGGGACAATACATTGAAGGCAAAAAATCCAAAACACACTGAGGTACAGAAACATATTCTATACATGATACAATATAAACAAAGAAAAAATATAAACAAAGAACACACACACACCTCAGGGGGAGGGGGCTACCAATGGGTCCTCCTGTGTCTATTTCCAAAGGAGGTAGAAGTAAGGGTTTTGGAATGCCAGTAATTCCAGCAGGCCTGACTATTGGCTGTGCTAACTAGGACTGATGGGAATTCATGTCCAAAACTTCTGGAGGGCATCAGCCATCAGGCTGCTCTAATCCCCCCCTCCACAAACACACACAAACAATCTTATTAAAGGCAAGTAATCAGTGAACACTGTGAGGTTTTCTTTAAAAATTCTCTCCATCTATCACCCATACAAAACTGAAGATAAAATAAGTATATATACATGCTTAAGTGGTGCTATGAGCAAGTTTTTAATGTACTTAAATAGTATTATTGCTTACCACAAGTAGAACCACCTGTCCTGGGTGAGTAAAGAACCATTCTTTAAATTCCATTAGGTGCCATTCTGCCACCCCAACAGTTATAAATCTGAAAGTATATTACATGGTTAGACCAACATTATGCAGTTGTGGTAAAATTATCATTACAGGTTACTACACTAGGCTATTGTCATTTATCAGACATTTCTGATAAAGAAATGTCTCTACAGATACAGTTAGATTTGACAAGGGTAGTGGAACTTCTACTGCTCCCTGTATCTTTCCCTTCATAATGCAATCGCCCTGCAATCGCTAGGACTTTTCTACATAAAACACTTATCATGTGCTCATCATTTCCTACACACATTTATTTATGGATTCCTTAGTCTTTAGATATATGAACTTTCAGTTTCATTTGTGTGCCTAAAGGGCACTTTTAGTGAGGGTTTGTTTAAGAGCAGGTAAAATGCAGTATTTAATTATAAAACAGAAAAAAATGCTTTTTTTACTTATGCATTTCTGCTATTCTGTTATCTTACAGTGCCACCAAGAGGTTGTGTGGCAGACAAGCAGGAAATGCTCCATGTATGGTGCTTGGATCTCAATTCTATATCAAAACGTAAATTAGGTACAGAAAATTAACAGCCTCATATCCAACAGCTCCTAGTTCAATAGAGCACATCCCTTGCGTTCTTTCTTTGCTTCATTTCATTTTTATACTTCCCCACAGCTGAAGCTTATTGTATTCTCTGATGTCTCAATGCTCAGGTAGGGCTGAGACAATCCTACAGCTGTAGCAGCCATAATTTTGCCTGTACCAGAAAGCCCTGTTCTTGGGGATTTTTCTGAGGTTTTGGCAACTTGTTTGCCAACATAAAAAATGCTGCTGGGGGCACTCATTGGAGGTTGTCATTTTAGTGGAAAACAGCTCATTTTATCTGAGAGGATCAGACAGTGACTGAAGCAGGCTTGCTAAAATATAGAAGTCACAATGTTCTACAATGTTGTGTTCCAAGTGTCCTATTACCGTACAACTACAGACTGGCAGGGGAAGCTGGCACTGGTAGTGTACTCATTCCAGGTCCCAGTCTGAACTTTTAAGGGGCTTTCTATAGTGCTGGATCTATTTGGGGCTATGGTTTGGCACCACGGATAACCTCTTGAAAGTTCTGATTAAAATCCAGAGTGAATTCACTGTTCCACTGACACTGGAACCACCATGTGCCACCAACATGAAGGTTTCATGCTGCTATTTCAAGCAATTCCAGACTTTCAGGGAAAAATGCTAAATGGCTGCAAAGCATGGGAGAGGTCCTGGAAGAGAAGGATGTTGTATAAGCCATCTGAAAGCTGCCACAAGTGAGGAACTGCAAGCACTCTTTGTGAAAAGGGAGGAAAGAAGCAACTCCAAGAGAGAACCATGGCAAGTCCTTAATCACATCACTGCACTAAGGCACAGAATGTTGTTGCTGTGCACCTTCATGTTGTCTCTGACTTATTCCATCCCTACAAGCCCTCCAAAATGCCCTCTCCATGGCAGCACTGCTCAGCTCTGGTAAATTCAAGCTGTGGCTTCCTTGCATAGAATAATGACCACACATCCAGAATATTTCTAATAGTTTAGTAGTTACACCCCCCCCCACTTTAGTTAAAGGAGATTTAATGTTAGCAACATGCCTATGAAACAAAACATCTTATGATCCTGCAGCAAGGAAATATTGAAGCATATTAGTGGTATAGCAAAATAAAAAAGTCATACACAGCTTAATTACTACTAATTGTGATGTATTTTGATACATTAGAGCTTATTGCATCAGATGAATAAAGTTCTATTATCCACTGAAAAATCTATTCAATTAGCTTCAAATATGCCACAAAATTGGTTCTCTTGCTGCTATGGACTAATATTATTTGGATATGAAATTTTGTAATTCTCATCCATGGATACTATTTTACTTTTGAACTTACCAAATTAATAACCTCCAAACTGCAATTATATATTAAAATAATTGTATTATAACTAAATAGGATTGTACCAACCTTAATTTAAACCTATGTTTGTAATAAGAAGAAAAAAGATAGCGATTCTGGCTTTTCATTGTAACAAACACTTTAAAAGGCTATTTTGTTTTATACTTACCTTCTCACCATATCATACATAGTATTTTCAACACTTCCTAGCCATTGTTCAACAGGACCTCTAATACGAATGCTCCTACAAGACAGTATTTGAAAATTCAACACTTAATATGAATAAAGGAATATAGTAATTTATTTTTGCTAACCTTCAGTTTCACTACTTTTAACATTAAAATGCTCCAACCATCAGTTCTGTAGTGTTCTCTCTCTAAGGCAGCCTTCCCCAGTCTCATGGCTTCCATATGTGCTAAACTACAGCTCCCATTGCTCCCAGTCATTACTGATGCTAGTAAGCAATAGCATGGGTTCCCAGTCGAAGCAGTAATTATGGGAGTGAATAGTGGGATAGTGCTTTGAAGACTACCCCACTCCCCCAGCAATGGAGGTACTTGGACTGGCCTCAAATACAGCTGTCAGGAAGAAATTACCTGTTCTTCATCGACAGGTAAGGCATTGAATTATTCTGTTCTCCACACGGATCACCAGTGGACACTGGCTTTACTGGCCTGATTTAAGAAATACCAACAGCTTGAAATAAATCACTGCAGTATTGGGCCCACTCTTCCTCTAAATAGCATTCAGAGGATGTGAAGGCAGATGCTGACTCAGATGTAGAGGAGAGGCCAGGATCAGCAGCTGAATTGCCAAGGCCAGTGGATACAGAGATGAGCCAGGCAGTCACTGAGAATTAGACAGTTTCAGATTCTGTGAGAAAGTTTAGTAACCATGCTAACATGGAGAGGGGTGGACTCTGCATCATTAATCCAAGGATACAGCATCAGGTTAAGAAACTAGGCCTCTTGAGAAGCACCAGATATTCCAAGCTATTGGTCCTTAAGCAGTCAGATCTGTCTTGAAAGTGTGGCTCCGTATTCATGTGGTAAATACAGTCTTGTCAGTAGAAATTGTAATTGTCGAAATATTCATTTTCCTCTTGCCTTGATTTGTCCTCACAACATTCTTAAGGAGCAACAAGACATTTGCAATAGATTGTCCATAGAATTTATCAATTAATAACATTATGAAAATGTGCTATGACAAATTGCTTGGAAATCTATAGAAGCTTTTCTTCTTAATTACATTATAACAGACACCTTAGAAATTTAAAATATTTGTACATCATACTTTGGCACTAGAAGAATCTCTCCTTCAGCAGACCTGATCATTAAAATCACTGGAGGTCTCTGTTCTTGAGGGCGTATATATAACTTCCTTATATTTGCAAAACATTTTGCAAGATGAGGCTGTAGCAGTACAGATGTAAAGCAAAATAAATTATGAACATTAAGGTTGTAAAATAATTTAAATTATATCTATATCTATATATGATACTGAATATTACCTGCACAGTATCAGGATTTTTGCTTTCAGCTAATACGTCAAGAAGTTCAGCATTGCTGAGAAAATAAAATCTTGGGAAAAGCATACGTTTCACTTCAAGGTAGTCCTGTTTCCAAAATTAAAAAGACAACATTTAACTGAAGATGACATTGTAATACAGTATCAAACACTTCTCAGACTCCAGGAACTTGCTGTTCACTGGTTTCAATTTTTTTAGCAGCTCTCTCTGCTTCCATTCTCTGTTGTATGATCTTCTTCTAGATTTAGTTAGGCCAGTGGTTTGTTTGCTAAGTCTGTAGAAACCTTCCTAAGTATTCTCAGTTGACACTGAAATATCAAGTAGGGAGGCAGTTGGTAGAAAGAGGCTCTATCAATGTTTAAGAAGCTTCTCTAGATAAAGCGCTAGTGATCCCTCACTTACAGAAGTGTGTGGGGCCTTTTCATGATGCCATCATCCTGCAGGGCCTCCCCTCTGACTCTTTTTGGACTGAACAATGTCAGCTATTATCCTAAAAGATGCTGTTAAGCACTGCAGAAGCCAAGTGTGAATTCTGCTCTATACCAAACTCCACCTTGTGTTGTTTAATGAGACATGTAGAAGGCAGAGGATCAGTCCCCCCAACCCCAAAAAATCCCCTCATGTGACAGACAGTCTGATCTTCCTGCAAAGAAAGTAAAAGAAGAGTTCTTGGTAAAGTACTGGGTTAAATGCCTGACACAGAAAACAATTAGTAAATAAGACACCTTGAATTCATTTAGACACTTCCTCAAGAAAATTTAAGGAAAGTTTAATCTCAGTCACTCAATCTTTTTGAGAACTCCACACGGCAATCCAAGAAACTAACATGATTTACCTCAAGAGCCTTCTGTATCTTCTCCAGATGTGCATTGTTGCTCTGCAGCATTTCAAAAACTCCTGGTGTTGTAGTTGCCTTAAGAGCATTTGGATTTTCTTCTGTACGTTTCATGATCTCCTTCCATTTGTTATCAACCTGAGAGAAAAGATTTGCTTCCCCAGGAAGCTGTCTGTTTTTAAAATCATAAATATTTTTAGGGAACAATTTGTCAAACAGTATAATATTCCCACATTTTAGATTTAACACATTTCTCTTTCACTCTTTCCTCTACGTGTTAATACCACTTCTACAGGTTTATACAACCTAGGCAACAAAGTATTTATGTAATTATAACATTATGTGCTGCATTTCTGCACCTCAGTGTAGAGCAGAAGAGAAGAGAATGCCATTAGAATGACAACATCAAGTAATCACAACTAACAGAGCAATGTATTGAAAAATGAGACAGATAAAACAACATTTCAACTACCACCCAGCAGATCTCAATAGCCAAATGTCCTTATGCCTTGTTCAAGGCCATAAAGAGCTTTAAAGATATGCAATGCAGGCACAGGAATTCATTCTGAAAGTGATCTGGACATCAATGTATTTATAGTGTAAAATCAGGTAAATTAATTTCCATATCCTTATATCCAACAAGAAGCTAACACCCCCTCAGTATTATGCACTAGGTACAAAATAAAAGTATGCTACAGTGCATTCTAGAGATTACAAAGCATGGATTGACATACTCTGGTCCCTTATTTTTGCACAAGCTTTCATAAAGAAACCACAAAAACACAATTGCTGTCTTCAAAATAGAGCTTTTTAAAGGATCTCCCTAGCCTCAACTATTCCACCCTGTTCTTAGGTGTCGAAAGCTGCTGAAGGGTCTAGGAGTTTCCATTCCAAAACCCAGCCTGAAAAGTATAGAATCTAAAATTATTTAATTTCATTTGTACTTCCCATTGCATTTTAAATGTGTAGGTATAAAAAAACAGGTATAGATTTATATATTGTTGAAACAGTCAGCTGTTTCCAAGACAAAGCTCTGACAAATTCACCAAACAGCAGTTGTTAAATCTCTGTCCATCCCCTTGGGGCCCTGTATACCAGCAGCAGACAGAAGGTAAATCTGGGTTTTCTGGGTGATTTTTAGTAGTTTGGCAAATGTTTCCCAATTGTTTAACAGCAGCAATAACAACTTTTCCCACCCAAATTAGGCTGCTGAAATGAAGCACCTGGGTCTGCTTGGTGATCTCTGAGATTCTAGCAAAATCAAGGTTGATCCAACAAGCCTGAAGTCTGCCTATGCCTGCTTTCTCCTAATACTCTTCTTCCAGAAAATATTCAGAGTTCCAATTTCTACATTAAAATCTCTTCTCAAGCCTTCGTTTGCTGCCTAGTCTTCCCTTTCTTTCCCAGTCTCATAATTTCTCTTGCTCAGGAGGAGGTAATCCTTGACAACATGTGTTACAACAGCAGCAAATTAATGGTAACAAATGGGAATTGTTGTTCCCTTTGTCCATCCTCCTTTATTCATAATATTCACAGCTTTTGGAGTTTGGAAATGTGTTTGGTTGCGGGTTGTAATTTTCTTAGCATTATCAAACATGCACTGTGCTTTCTAAGTGACAAAATAGTAATATGCAATGTTTAAAAACCAGTAAGATGTGATTTTTAGTGACAGTGCAGACGGGGACTGCAGCCAAGAAATTAAAAGATGCTTGCTCCTTGGGAGGAAAGCTATGACAAATCTAGGCAGCATACTAAAAAGCAGAGACATCATCCTGCTGACAAAAGTGCATATAGTCAAGGCTATGGTTTTCCCAGTTACAATGTATGTTTGTGAAAGTTGAACCATAAGGAAGGGCTGAGCGCTGAAGAATTGAGGCCTTTGAATTGTGGTGCTGGGGAAGACTCCTGCGAGTCCCTTGGACTGCAAGGCGATCAAACCAGTCAGTCCTAGAGGAGATCAACCCTGACTGCTCTTTTGAAGCCCAGATACTGAAGATGAAACTCAAATACTTTGGTCACCTAATGAGAAGGAAGGACTCATTGGAGAAGACCCTAATGCTGGGAACAATTGACAGCAAAAGAAGGGGATGGCAGAGGATGAGGTGGCTAGATGGAGTCACTGAAGCAGTCGGTGTGAGCTTAATGGACTCTGGGGGAAGGTGGAAGACAGGAAGGCCTGGAGAAATATTGTCCATGGAGTTGCGATGGGTCGGAGTTATCGTGACTAATGACAACAAAGATGTGATTCTTAGGCTTGAATACTATGACCTCTTTTCATCATGTGAAAGGCCATAGGATTCTTTGGAATCCTAGCTCTGAGATCTTGCAAACTCCAAATTCTGAACCTTGCCTCCAACACCCTATGTGGAAAGGACTGCACTGGCTGCCCACCTCTAAGGTTAAAACTGGGCCTCAGAGGGGGAAAAGGGGGCATGCAACAAGGTCGAGGGGCAAGGAAGCTGGGGGCAAGAGTGTACACCAGTTGCTATCAGTGTCCCAGCCTTCTTGCCTCCCCAGTGCTAAATCCAGACAACCAGAAACAGCCATCTAGATAAACAGCCAGTATAAGGCTCAGGGATCATGACTACTGCAACTCATTCTGAGCATAGGATCACACACACCTCTGAGTTAAGAGACTTATGTGCATCAAGGGCATGATGCATAGGATTGTGCCATTATATTATTATAAAAAGAGATATATGCATCCACACAGGGTTCCTCTTTACAGAAAAAAGGACACTGGAGATACACTTATAAGAACATCATCTGGAAACAATGTAGGTACACATTAAGCATCTCTCACTGATCTAAAGAAGAGCCAATTATGCTAGAGGGTATTGCCAGCATTTTGACTTTGGTATGTGATAACTGAGACCACATTGTTGTACAGAAGCATACCTTTTTATTTCTGGAGCATGGAAGATTGGCTCAAGATAAATCCAATTCCTTTGGCAAGTTAACCATTCCTCCAGAGTACAAGAAAAGAGATTTAATTTGCGATCCCAAGCATCCACGAGACTCTATCACACAAAACAGAATAATCATAAACAGAGACATTACCAGCTAATTCTCCTCCTTGATACATTTTACTTGGTGGATAAATCGCATTTTGGGCTTTCAGACTAGAGTGGATTATGCTATAAATTTTAATAGTTTAAAGCACTTATTTTTAACTGGTTGACTGTGACCCACTGATTCACAGTCATATGTAAAGTGGGATATACCAGCGGTGACATGACCATTTTTAGAAAGAAATAAAGAAGGTGAAAGAAAGAGAAAAGGAACGGGAGAGAAAGAACTATAGTCAGACAGGTATGGTATTGGTAAAAATGATTCATGAGAGAAATGCATGGAGGGTCTCATGCTAAAATTCGGTCCTATAGCTTAAAAGTTTGAACACAACTGCTTTAAAAAGTCTGATCATTCTGGGTTTTATTTTCTGAAATGGGAAATAACCATCGGTGATTGAGTATCTTGACATTCAAACTATCTCTTGGTTATGGAGCTTATTAGGTGACACTGGGACAGTTATTGATGCTCAGTCTAACCTACCTTACATGCTAGGAGGATAAAATGGAGAGAAGGAGGACTATCTGCACTATCCTGGGATCCTTGCAAGAGGAAAAAGGCAAGACGCAAATGTAGTACTTATAGTATAGTGGCAGTTCTAATAATATTGCTAATAATAAATCTCAAGTACAGTACCTTAATTGGTCCAACATAACAAGAACCTTTAATTGTTGAAATTGTCACTTGAGAATCTTCTAACAAAGCAGTTATATCTTCAGCAGATGAAATAATCAAAGTAGACGATGATTCAGTGTGATATGGAGATAGATGAAAATTGGTTTTACACCAAAGGGCAATTATTTTTTTCAGCATTACTTCAAGAGTTGTTTCATTGGTAGCTGTTATCGATACTTCATTTATTTCTTTCCTGCACTGAGATATCTAGAGGTAAAAAAGTTAGAAGCATGAATAATGGATGCTAGTATGCATAAAAAGCCAGAATCATCTTTTATGAATAACTGGCCAAGATATATGTTAAAGATAAGGTAAACTAGAAGTAAATATTCATAGTAACTACTCATTGTGCATGTGGGAGAATGGAGAATGTGTATGTTGTCAATCCGTGAAGAGGAAATTACACAATTTGCTGAGTCAGTAGACATAACCTCCAACAGGTCTCAGGAAATGTGCATATATTGTGACAGAGTTTTGTACATCTTCAAGTGTTACCCATTAGCTCTAATACTTTTTCATGTTTCCTTTAGTGGTACAGTTGCTTCCACCTTCATGGTTTCCATGATAATATGCATTCTTCCACCTATTTGGTATACTACTATGCAATTTTACATGGACAGAAGAATATAAATGATGGGAACACCACAAAAGCAATCACAGAGGCAGAGGAAACTCCTCTGCACATATTCACATTATAATGTTAAGAGAAAAATCACACTGAATGTGCACACTAAGTGCAAATAACTCCACTGAAAAGTATTCAAAACTTTCTCACAGTCAGCACAAAATTCTGCATTCTACATAGAAATCTGCGAAGAATGCACTAGCCCAAAGGGTTATAAATCAACAGAGTTCTGTTTCATATCTGATTATGACAATGGCCACACCTTAGAAGTCTTAGGAATGTTTCAGGCTCTCCAACCTTTCCAACTTCATTTGGGATGTCCAAGTATCTGGACTATATCTTCAAAAAGGGACCAAATGAATTGACTCTGCCCAAGAGTCAAGATATGCTAGGGGTGACTAGTAACTCTAATAGAAATGAAGATGGATAAAATGTTTTAAAAAGTGAACCATAAAACCTAAACAAATGTTCTACACAGACCACAAAATATAGGGAGCAAGAAATATCAAAAATTACAGCATGTCTCAAAAAGTTACATATCTCAACTATAAATCATGTAATTACATCAAGTTCCAGAATCTTATCCAGGGTAAATCTTTTATCCCAAGAAATGGACCCTCCAACAATATTCTGTATTATTTCCCAGTGCCTTGCTTGAAGACATGGATTCCTTAAAGCTATGATTAAAGGCAGGAACTCCTTAAAATCCATCAATGACTTCTTCAAAGCAGGTAAAATTGTGTTTTCTGGCAAGCCTTCAAAATGAAAAAATATTATGGACACTTAAACACTTCTTATAAGAGTTTTGTATCAAACGCATATTAGAATATTAAGATTCTTTTGTGAGGTGTAGATCCAAATTGAGTCATACTTTAGGTAGACAGATTGAAATCAATGGAACAAATTAATCATGAGTAAACTTAATTCTACTCAAATCAACTGGTACACTCTGATTAAATCTGCCAAGCCAACTCTGGTTTTGTGTTAAAGGTATGCTATTGTCCTTAATCATATTTTTGAATACTTTATACTGTATCTTTTCACAATACTCATTTATTTGCATAATGATTCTGGGCAGAATCCAATGATATGTTTCTGCCTCCACCAATACTATTTCACGTTGCCAATATAATTGCACAAGTAGCCCCCAATGCTTGTGCAATGGCAATTTAGCACTTCCAAAGCATTCCAAATGAACAGAAGCACTTGTTTCTGGAAGGAGGGAGATTGGCAGAGCTCCCATTACAAATTTTGGTTCATCTGCCTTGTTCAAAAAAAATTAGTGTTTTCCTATTCATTTTGGGACTTCTTGGGAGAAGAACTAAATATCTTTTATGTAATCAATGTGTCCCAATAAAACAATGGAACTGACATGACAGAACACTTGTGGAAGAGAATCAGCAGGGCAGAGAGAATCCTTCCCTCTATCAAGTTAAAAAAAAACTTGCAATTTAAAAATGAGACAAGATAACCTTCTCTTGATAAAACTTCACAGATAATTAAACATAACAATTTTTAATTTATTATTTTACTCCCAAACCAAACATTTAATATCTAAAGAAAACATTTCAATTAACTATTAATTACTGAATTATCAAGTACATTTACCTTTTTCTAGAATATGTACAATCTGCATGAATCTGTTGACATCTGTTTGAATTAAATCGACATCAAGATTCCAAAAAATTGTGTGCTTCCACCTGAAGAAAAGCTTACTCGATTCTTCCTGAGAATCCCACAACAATTTACGCAATGCAAGTTCACTTTCAATTTCAGAGAGCTCAGCATTCACTCTCTGAGAATCCCCAGACTGACCGCTATGTGACAGCTTTTCCAATGACAGTGATTTCATGTCACTAATGGAATTGTCAAAAACAGTCTGATAATTTGCATATTTCACAATTTTCTCACTAATAACAGCTGCTTCTTCAATAAGGCTTTCAATCATCTCTTTGGCTGTCTTAGGCAATGTTTCACTGAGGAGAAGGACAGGGTTTCTTACCTAAACATGAAAATAAATTATCATCACAATCACCAAAGAACTTGATTCCATTCTGTTACAAATTGAACTGCCTCAAGCATAGCAGTGTGTTCTGATAAATGCATGAGTTACATCAGTTGGAGCGTTGTTGAAGGACCAATATTAACCCTGCATTAGGGGCTTTTCTACACAAGGCTGTTAATAGGCTGCTACTTTCAGGTTTTTTGCAGAACTGAGATCTGCGTGCTACAGAAAGAACATTTCCTTTCCTGCTTTTCTGATTTACAACCTCTAGGTGGCACTTTGGTACAGCAAAATAGTGCAGCAGAAAACCCTTATTCTTTCACTTTCATAAATAATAGAAAGCGTGATGGTCAGGATCCCTCTATAGGTACCTCAAAGACAGTCACAGAGGGAAAGGTCAAGATCTCTTCTTGCTGAAATATTCAAAGTGAAACTGGGCAGTCATCCAAGTGGGATGGTGCTGATACCAGAGTGTAGGACACGGAATATTCAGTTCAAGTTGCAACAACCAGATTCAGGCTAGAAATCAGGTAAGGTTTTCTCACTATCAGAGCAATACAACAGTGGAACCAGCTGCCTAGAGAGGTGGTGGGCTCTCCCACTCTAGAAATATTCAGAGTGAAACTGGACAGTCATTGAAGTGGGATGGTGTAAATTGGTGTCCTGCAACAGCAGGGGGTTGGATCCGACAGCATTCATGGCCCCTTCCAACTCCACTAATTTATGAGTCTATGAAAATTCTCATATTGTTCTCTCTTTTTTCAATGACACCTTTTTATTGCTCCAGCTGATACTGAATTTACAGAAGAAACATAGTTTCTATCTTGTCCTTTGTCAGAGACAGGTGCTCATATCTAAGGAAAAATTTCCATGGTCTCTTTTCCCTGTCATGCCTCTGAGTAATTTAAACTCTTTGTACTAGACAATTAAATCAATCCATATTAATTAGCCTGCAAGAAAGGTTCTTCTTTTATCAACATCCACCCCCAAAACTGAAATAAAAATAGCTATAGCTTAACAAGGAAATTAAGTGCACCTCAGCTTTGGTCTGGTTTATCTACAACCACTAAGCAGGCTAAAGAATTAGTGACTTACTTTGTTTTTGTATTCCCTCATTTCAGCCTGCAGGTTGTCAACATATTCTCCCAAGCCTTCATTGAATTTTATAATATAGTCATCCTTCGTTTTTTCACAAATAAGGACTGCTGATTGAAGATTCTGGAGTGTGCGAACGACTGTTTGATAAAGAGCAAGCTGCTGAAGCGGAAGAAAGATATCATAGTCTTTTGCAATGGAGTAGAGCTCAGAAAGACACTCAAACTGCATTTTTATATCCGGTAGTTGTGAGGAAATTTCACTGAGATATAGCAAATGTTCAATGAATCCATCCACTGTTACCAATTCTTTGCTCAACTTTGCTACTGCTGTCCTTGTAACCTAAGGGCAATAGAGCAGTAATAAAGTATTTAATACATACTGGAATATATACAATCATTCCCCAGAAATGGTGAGGCAGAACTTCTGGTTGTGGCTAGGCAAGGCTGTATGAGACATTTTAAAGGAAGGGTGACAGATGCTTCCAAGGAAATAAAGTAATTTGGAGCAGGCAAAGCCAGAGACACCTTCATCTCAGCAGCAAAGTTCTAGTACTGCAATGACAAAAAAACAAAAAAACAAAAAACCCTGCTATGCTAATTATAGAAGTTGCAGAGATTTTTGTAATACATTGCCAGGCATAAGCCTAGCTCCAAGATAGGATATAGTTAGGATACATTATGGCCATAGAAGAAGCAAAGAAGGAATAAGAAACAGAGGACTGACGCTCAGTGGTGGAGCACATGTTTTACAGGTGGAAGGATCCTGTCATCTCTAGGGAGGGATGAAAAAAAATCTGACATGAAACTCCAGAAAACTGCTGCCAGTCAGCTTTGATAATGGGTGGACTGAATAGACCAGTGATCTGACTCAACAGAAGGCAGCTTCCTGTGTTCCCAATCGATATGGTCACAGGACAGAGATTAGGCCCCCAATCCAACAAAGGCCAGAGGAAGTAGGAGTGGTCACAGACAGGCCGGAGGCAAGGCACAGCTGGCCAAGCCAAAAGTCAGTTCCATGATAACAACTGAAAGCTGGAGGATCCAACAGCAGAAGCAAGATTAAATTTGCAGAGGGCCCAATCTAAGGTAGCAGTCAGGAAAAGGAAGCAAAAGAGCAGGCGGAGTTCTCACAATTAAGACAAGATGTTCAGATTAATGGGTTGGCATGACTTCATGACTAGTCCCACTTGGTTTGAAGAGTCAGCTGACAATATTGAAACTCTAGCCTAGAAGTCATAGGTAATATTTGTTTAGTCTAGGTCTAAATCTTGGAAATTCTGATCAGCTGTCTACTACCTCCCAGTTCTCCCCACCCTTCTACTCTAGTCCCACCTACACATTCATAAAAGTTCACTTACCTGGCAGAAATTATTAAGACAACTTCCTCCATGGCCCAATATATTATCCTCCCCTCTGTACTAGCAAAGAGATCTGAACCAAACAGTCTCCAAACCACGCTTACTCCTAGCAAGATCCAGCTACCTAGCAAGATCTACTTAATTTCATTCGTTGGGGGATGGGGGAATTATGTATACAAGATGTTTTGCCTGGGCCTCTTTCCTCACTAATAACATTATTATCAAAGAATATGTGTATATATAACCTTCTAATTACACCCATTAAGCAGTATTTAATTCCAACAGAAGTATTAAGCAGAATTTTGTTTCCATATAATGAATTTTACTCTAAACCTTTGCATAATGAAAAACATCACCTTGACAACAATTTTATTGAAAAGACAGGCTATGAATGTAATAAATAAATGAAAGCTGATACACTTACTTCTACAAGGTGTTGATTCTTTGCATCAATAGCCGCATAAAAGTGTGAATGAATTACATTAAGCAAAGCCTCAAAATATGGCAAGCAGTCTGTCTGAAAGTTCAGACTTTTGACCTTACACATAGAGATACGTCTTTCAATGATCATAGATACAGTCTCCATGGTATCAGCTGTATAATGTTCCAGAATGTTTCTGAACTCATGGGTAGACATTTCTCTTCTTAGTGCTGATATCCTGTCAGTTATATGCTTTGCTTTATCTACCATATTGCAGTATTCCATAAAGTTTCTGCTGTAACTTTCTACTTGGGTCAGTGAACAACTCTGAAGAGCCAGAAGAGTCAGAATCTGCAGGGTTAAAATGGCAACAAATTACAAACTTAATTAAATTCTTAAAAATCAAGGGCAAGGGCATATTCATCTTATCAACTGTTCTTATCAATTGGTGTCAGCCTCACATATTAATGCTTGTTAAGATATAATTACTGAAAGAACCCAGAGTGTTCCCACTGGAAAGTAAGCCATACTGGAGAAAGCTTCTTTCTACTCTTAGTTCTGCAAGAAATGAGATATGCATTTGATGCCCGGGGGAGGGGGGGGGTGGAGTGGCAGTCCTGCAGTCAAGCAAAAGTCCTTTCTTGCGACTACTGAAGGTACAGGAGCCTGTACTCAATCTGTACTCAATCGCCTTTTCAGAAAAGCAAGGCACACCATGCAGATACAGATGGCTGAACTATCATAAGACCACTCAGTTTTGGTCCTCCAGAATCCAAAGTGAAACTAGATGAGATGGCAGCAAATCCATGTGCTACAGGATACAACTAGCCCAACTGAGAGAAAAAAGGGAAAAATAGAAGTATGTGCCACATTCATTATTACTATTTTTGGCTCAATGACATAAACACTCTAACTAGCCCATTGCAACCTTTCTTACCATGTAGCAGATCCTAGCAATGTAAATACAAATTAAAAACCAAATCAAAGCTAGAAGCTGTTGCTAGACAACAAAACTAAGCTCTTGTATGATCCCCCACAATTTTTCTGTATTACATACATTGCAAGAATAAAAAATTATTTATCTAACTTAACCTTTGTTCAGTCTGAGATTAGAATGATGCCATTTGCCCACTAAGATTTTAATGAAAATACAAGGTATATTAAAACTGTTTATTAAAATAGGAGAATCTCATATATACATTCCATTTCTGCTCACACATACTGAATCTAGCAGTATGTCTGTTGCCAACTATACTCAGTCAATGAAAGTGAAAACTCAAGAAAATTAATTTTTTTATTATAACATTTCTATGCCGCCCCTTGCCGAAACCTCGGGGCAGCTTACAACATGATAAAATACATTGAAATACAATAGTACATAATAAATTACCATTAAATACAAAAATACAAAAAATACATTGATTTACAAATATAAAATTAAAATTATCAGTATAAAATAAAAATATAGGAGGAAGAAGTTGCCCTGGCCAGATCATATGTTTTAACAATTGAAATGATGTTTAAATAAAAAGGTCTTTACCTGGCGCCGAAAAACCAGTAACGACGGTGCCAGGCGGACCTCTTTGGGGAGTGAATTCCATAGGTTGGGCGCCACCGCAGAGAAAGCCCTCCTCCGGGTACTTACTCTCCTAATTTCTTTCATGGAGGGTTCCCGGAGAAGGGACTCTCCCGCAGATCTCAAAGGGCGGTCGGGCATATATGGACGTAAGCACTCGTTCAGGTAGCCAGGACCCAAGCCGTTTAGGGCTTTATAGGTCATAATCAACACCTTGAATTGGGCCCGGGCTTCAATGGGAAGCCAGTGAAGCTGACGGAGGACTGGAGTCATGTGAGCATAACGCCCCATCCCCGTCAGCAACCTGGCAGCTCTATTTTGCACCAATTGAAGTGTTCGGACTGTCTTCAGGGGAAGCCCCACGTAAAGCGCGTTACAGAAGTCTAGGCGGGAAGTCACCAGCGCGTGTTTTGCAGGAATGGGAGGCAAACCTGTTCCTGTGTTGCCACTGCTGTAAAATGAAACATTCCAGGCAGGCATCTTTGTCAACCCTACCTTCCAGGATTGATTGAACCATCCATGTGCAAAGCATGTGCTTGCCCATAAGTTTTCCCTGAAGTTTACAAATCACAGTTCTGTCTACCTGCACAATTTTACAGCATAGATTAAAGTTTCTGACTTTTGCATTCCAGCATCTTTCAGCCAACAGAACAATGAACTTAAACTGTAGTACACACAGTACAGGCTAGTCACAAGGAAGAATTTCCTGGCTGTGAGAGGAGTACAACAGTAGAACAAGCTACCAAAAGAGATTGTATGCTCTTCCACACTAGAGTCTTTCAAGAAGCAGTTGGCCAGTTATCTGATCAGGATGACATCAAGCACTAACAAGGGGTTGGTCTCGATGGCCTTCTTGGCGCCTTCTGACCCAATTATTCTGTGATTCAATACACCCATGTTTTCCCCATTTTATGTCACGATTGCTTTCTAAATGATAGAATACACCCATTAAATTGGAGCAATTTAAAACTAATTCTTTATATTCTACAATGTCGTGAATATGGCAGGGAAAACGTTTCTATGAACAATATATTTTTAGCATCCAAATACTATTCTTACATGATTTCAAAACATACCTTACTTTGGTAATCTGGATCTGTTCCTAGGATGAGATCACAGTTTGGCCATTTTGCTAAACCCTGTTTTGGTTCAGAATCAATGTAAGCCTCATATGGCTGCATTATTTTATGTAAAGATTGATCAACAAAGATTGATAGCTGAGCTTCCTGAGAAAATGGTATAATCTGATCTAAAGAGAGATTATTCAAACATATTTACAAGTTGAGAAACTCATTATGCACTAATGCAAAATAAAGGCCATGATCTATAGAACTGTACAACTGGCACTGCGTATGTGGTACACAGGATCTTGAAATTTTTTAATCAGAACCCTGTCTGACCCCAACTGTTGTGACACTTCTGGGAAGCATCTGAAACAGTTTGCGATTGTGACAATATCATAAGTATCAGTTTGTTTTGTTGCAAGGTTTATTTCAGGTTTATTTTACCTGGAAATGTAAAGTACCATATGATGCAACTGATAGGTTTGGAGCCCTGCAGGAATTATGTAGTTACTTGTGTGAATCCGCAGCTCCAGGTTGCTTTTGTTGATACATCTGCAAAGGAACCTTGCCATTATCATGCAAATGAAAGTGGCCTTGCAGACAAAACTACGGTTTCATATAGTGGCCTCCCTACAGAATCTCCACCAGGCTGCAGTTATGTCAGTGGTCTAATGTATTCCCCATGCAGAGTCCCCATGGGGGCTCTTAAAATCTATGAACCATTTTTAACTAAATGTTCATTACCTTAGTTCTTGATAGCAAAGCTAGTTTGGGGAACAGCAATTCTGGGAGGCTCTACCTAGGCAAGGGTAGTTCAGTCTCTTTCTCCCTCCCACAAATGATGTGCTTTAATTTCCACCCTGCATTTACAATATTTAGCACAACTCAATATGAGTACTATCCCCATAATGTCTAATTATATCCTAATTTACCAGTATAATTGCTATATACATAATGACACTGGGGAAAACTGACTGTCCCAGAATCAGATTGTTGTTGTTTTGTCTTTAATTTCAAGTAAAACTGTTTGAAATAAAGTTTGTCAATAATGATATATCTTAGGATAAATATTTTACATTAATGCAGAAATTTATCTTTGATATGACAATAAATATACCTGTTAAGATTTACATCTTTATTTGCTCTCTTAAGATGGATAGTACTGTGTGTGTGTATCGCATATACTTATATTTAAACAAGACTATTTTTTTCTGGACTATTTTTTCTACATTCAGTAATTATTTAGTACACCATGCGTGCTAACCAAATATTAACTGAAAAGTAAGAATTATATAAAATATTGCACATGGTTTAGCAGAGATTACTTACCAATGGTGTTTTCTAGGCCATCCAGAATTCCTTGCAACTGTATTGAAAACTCTCTTTTATTAGGATTTAAATATGTATCTGTAAAGAATTCTGGAGAACTGGAAAAGAAGTTAATATATATTTTATTGACAAAAGATGTCAGGGAAAAGCATCTGTGATCATTAAAGACTAAGCTGGAATATGAGGGTGCAATCCTAACAGGATTTTGTGAGCACTGAGACTCAGAAGTACAGAGTGGGCTTTCTTAACAAGCTAGCCAGAGTTTCTTGGAAGGGGAGGGATGAAAGCTGGAGTGGCTTCAGATACCATATACCCTGGACACCCCAGGCTCCTTGCTGTCCTCTCTCTGACCTCTTTGTCTCCAAGGTTGTTAGAGAGCAATCCTTAGGCTGTATTTGAGGGGGCATGAGATGCTGAAGAATCCACCCTACGAACTCAAGAGGAGAGATGTGAGTGGGAATTTCCCCCATCTCTTCTCAGCTGCTTCAGAAAACCCTACATTGGTTCCCTCTCCCAAGGTCTGAGCTCAGACAATAAGAACAGGAAGGTGAGGAAGGAAAGGGAGAAACAGGAGCATGGCCAGGGTAGGGAGAAACCATGGATCCATCAGATCCAACTGCTGCTCCTTTGCTGAACCAAAATGCAGTAAGGGAGGATGGAAAGGCTAGAAAGACCTCTGCTGTTCCTTTCTCCCTGCTAGAAAAGTGTTGGCAACACTTAGGGTATACGGAGGACTTGAAAATCAGAACCCTCCATTCAATGAACATCTGTCCTTTAAGGAGCTTCATGAAAAGATTGCTTCCTGCCTCTTCCTCCCCTATGCTTCCTCCCTAAAAGACTGGGATTCTCTCCTCAACTATGCATGATGAACATACTTCAAAATGCCAACATTACTTCACAAGGTACTTCACCACATGAAAGTTTCACCATTCTCTCCCACTCCTCCACACATCTCACAGCAAGGCCCCTGACCCTTTGGGGAAGTCACAAGGGGCTGCAGGACAGGGTGGGAAACATTTCTTGTGAGACCTTCTTTAAGATCCTGACCAACAGATTTGCTTTGGGATTTGCTGGGGCAGGGGTGTCTCTCCAACATGGCCCATATTGGCTCCTGTGAGCCCACAGACACCTCTCTTGGTGCCCACTAGGTCCCTTCCCATACTAATTTTTATTTATTAAGACAGTTTACATTGTTTTTGCTTGCTGCAATGTGAAGGGCTGCCCTCAGCACCACCTTTATTTGGGTTCAAAAGAATGGCTTCTGCTTTGGAGATCCAGTATCTGCCCTGTACATAGGCATCAAGAAATTGATTTTTCTTCTACTCTCACCGAATTGCCTTCTGGGAAAAAGCACAGGGGGTCATGGCCCCTCTGGCAACTATTTTGTGAAAGCACCCATGACATTCTCTTAAAATGTCAAATGTAACCATTGAGCCAGAAACTTGGGGATCTCTGGCGTAAGCCTTTGTAGACTGGAAACCATGATGTTAGAGGCATCCTGTCATCTGCCTCATTTGGCAGATGACACGATGAACCTGATACTAGTGCTGAATAGGTCAATTAAAATTTTTAGGCACTATGGAAAAATGGCGTCTGTGCTCGCTCGCTCACTCGCTCGCTCGCTCGCTCTCTCTCTCTCACACACACACACACACACACACCCAGAGAGAGAGAAATAGAGAGCTCTGGGGGACAAATGAAAGCTTATGCCACCATAGCATTTAAGGTGCTACCATGTTTTTTGCTGCACAGACTAACATAGCTACCCCGCAATACAATGTTAATAATAATTAAAATAAATATTAGCCTTTCCACCATGTTATCATGCAATGTGTTCTGTGAAATGAGGTTTCTATGGTTATACAGACCTCTTATACACAAGTGGCTCATAATCAAATTCACAAATTGACTCTTGGTCTAGAACAGAACGAAAAAGCAATTAAAATGGCATATTCTTTTGTATTTTTATATCAACCCATAAAAAGTCTCTCTACTAATAGTGGTTATCATGTTCCCATAAAAAACATTTAAAAAATCTAATGAACAGCTACTGAACTTCCCAAAGGACAAACAATTCAAAACATATTATAAGATGCCTTACTACTTAAGCCTTTCTCACCAGAAAGCCAGTGTCATGTAGTTGTTGGAAGTAGTTGGGTCATTGAGTTAGATGATGGAACAAATGGCTTCAGAGTAAAAGGAGAGAACAGAAGCAGGACTGGTTCTATCCCAGCTGGTTGCTAAAAGACTCCTGCAAGTTTAAAATAGCCTTCCCTCAATTTGGTTTTCTCCTGATGTTTTGGACTGTAACTCCAATCAGCCTGATCCAGAATCCTCAACAATGCTAGGAACTGTAGATATTTTGGTAGTAATTGCTGCTTTATAAATTGCTGCCTGATTTTCCTTTCCTTCCACCTTCTTCCCTAAGCCATTTTCCTGTCTGTCATCACTTCTTGACTGTAAACCCAAGAAAAGGAACTGCTCTGTTTGTAGAACAACCCAGAAGCTATTCTGGGAGCCTTTTCAGATGAAGAGAAGTATAAACATTATTTAAATAATAAACCAACTGAACACATAATAAATAAAAAATGTTAATAGTGGTTGCTAGGAATCTCATACAATGTCTTTCTTCAGGACCATGAGAATGGTGCTGAAGGCCCATAGAGAATGGTTAGTATTTCAAAGATTAGAGCATCTAAAAATGTAAGTGAGCACTCGAATATATCATTATCTAACTTGCACTGTGCAGTTATATAACATCTGATTACAAATACCTTTCATCCATTTCAATAGATGGGAATTTAAATTAGTTCAAATTTAATTACCAGAAGCCCAAGAATATATTACTTTGTTTAAAATGTTTTGCTGCTTGAATAAATAGTATTCTCACAATAGCTTCTGTCTCTGAGTAACAAATTGTAAAGTCTAAAAAATTCAGGAATTTTTCAGTCACTTTCACTGTTAAATGAAAGGTATCTCTATCACTGGCCACAGTTAGAAGGCTGGAAAAGCATTTGATTAGAATCACTTAGGTAAATTTAAGCTCTGTAATGAATGGATTTGACTGAATGACCCTTTGAAATTAATTCCAGTCATATAAGATCCCAGGGGACAAAGGCAAATATTACTTTTACAAGGATAGCTTTGGATATGATTCCCGATTCCTTCAAAAGGATTCTTACAGAGAGAGGGTGTGAAAACCATGGGGCCTTTCCAATACTATACAAATGTATTTATCTTGCAGTACTGTTGCACTGAAATTGTCATGGAATGAATCATGGAATCAAAGGCCAGGCCAACTGAAAAGGGATAATTTGGTATTAGGTGATCTACTTATGAAGTAAACCCAGACACCAATAGCATGATAGTACTAGAGGTCAAATCTGTCAATTGATGTAACTGTTAGACTGCAAAGCTGTGATGTTGTCTAATGTGACCCTAAACTAAGGATTTAGACTAAAGTCTAATCCCAAAGAAGTCTAATGATACCTTTGTTTTCGCTACTGAGTACATTTGACTCTTGTGTATTTTCTGACTGTTCTTCACATTTGTTTTCAGTATTACACTGAGATGAGGTTTTCAAATTTTCATCATGTTCTAATATTTCTTTCAAAGAGTTCAATGGAGTTTCTTGGATATAATCATCACTTCCCTGGTAATATTTTCTACGATAGTCCTTTTCATAGGGAATCCGCAGACATATATTTACTTCAAATATTGGTGAATATTCTTCTTCTCCTTTCAGTTGATTTTTCACTTCTTCTAGTATCTAAATTTGTTTGAAGATATAATTAAAGCTAAAACAGTTGCCATTTGTTAAGTTTTTCACCATTCAAATACAAATGCAAATTTACACTGTTGGGAGTCAATTCTAATAAAATTGTTTCATTCATTCAAAAATAAATAATTCACAAAAAAGGTTATCATGGTGAATGGTAGAACAGGATAAACCATGTCATTAATTTCTTCCATATGCATGGTGATTTTCAATAAATCAAGCTCCCTGCATGGTTTGTTAACAAATTCAAAAAAAATATTTCCTGTGTTGAGAAAGCTATTCCATACTCTACTATCCATAGCTACCCATAGGGGAAAAATTGATAGCCATTGATAGTACATTCTGCAATTATATGAAAAGGAAAGAGTCTGTAGGACTAATGAAAATTATTTTTTAAATTATGAATGATCAGTACCTGGCACCAACTTTGTCCTTTTTTGACATTAGGAAAAGAATTACCTGTGCATTCTAGACATTAATAGCAGAAGATTGGGTGGGGGGCAGAATTAATGTTGCAAATAGTAACACATATTAGGGTGCAAACCAATCAAATTGCCTGTAAGCCCTCAAACTTGGAGGAAACAGACATCCTATGCAGAGTGGGAGGACCAAAAGTATAAGACATGCCTCCTTGCTGCTCACAGTCTGCATTTTTATTAGACAGTTGTTTTCAACCATGTCACTGAGGTGTTGGAAAGGGTGGGAGCTGGTGTGGTTCTTTATGTATTAGCTGCAAGAAGATGGAGGCAGGGGATAAGAGCTCAGATCCCCAGTTCCAATGCCAGAGTGCTGTCTCTGACTTCAGAGCTGGGAATCCAAACAATCATGAATTTTTAATTTTTGTATGTTAAAGATGGTATATTGTGAGTATTGTGTTGTATTTAATTTTTGTGAACCACTGAGAGATCTTTGGCTATTGGGCAGTTTAGCAATTAAATAAATGAAGTGGATCAACCTGTCAATAAATAATTAAATGACACAGAGTAGGTAAATAATAAATCAAAGCAATGTAAATTAAATGTATAACATAAGAGTAGAAATTATTCAAATAAAAAACCTTCAGCATACTGAATAGGTTGCAGTTTGTGTAGCTAATTTAAATCCCAGCGCACGCGCGCGCGCGCGCGCGCGCGCGCGCTCTCTCTCTCTCTCTCTCTCTCTCTCTCTCTCTCTCTATATATATATATGTAACTAGATCCAATTGGAAGAGACTTTCTTTTGGAAATAATTTTACCTTGTCTATATCACTGACAGTAATAATTTCATGCTGTATTTCAGGTTCCTTTGAACGGCACACTGGTTCCTGAAATTCCTGGAAATGATTGCTTTGAAATATCCATAGACATCTGTTTTCAGAAGTCAGTAAGCTATTAGCTCTCTCAATTGTGTTTCTGTAGGATCTGCATGTGTTAAATTTTACTAAGTTATATTGTAAGCATGGCAACCATTTTTCATATTGTCGTAAATGTTTTTATTTCTCCAAGGTGCTCAGGCCAGCATACCTGGACTAATTTTATTGCAATCTACCTCAACAAAGCAGTCCTAAGTGCAGAGGATCACTGGAGCTACCCTGGCACAAACATAGAAACATACAAACAGAGCGTGTCAGAAGGGGTCTCCCGGGCCATCTAGTCTGACCTCCGGCACAAGCCGGCTCCACTCACAACATGCCCACCGTGTGGACGTCCAGCCTATCCTTGAACACCCTAACCGATGGGGCCTCAACGACCTCTTGTGGAAGCCCATTCCACACCCCCGGGGTCCTAACTGTTAGGAAGTGCTTCCTGGCATCCAAATGGAACCTTGGCTCCCTGAGCTTTGCTCCGTTGGAGCGCGTCCTGCCTTCCTCTGCAGGGGAGAACAGGTCTCTACCCATCTCCATGTGACTTCCCCTCACATACCTGTATGAATTTAGTTACATCACATTCCATTCCACCCATAAAGGGTAAACATGCATGCCTGCCACTTCTGCTGACATTTAGGAGCTGTCATCCTCAATGAACATTCCCCTCAATGTTGCACGCATGCACGCACGCACGCACGCACACACTTGTAGGCTACTTCACTTGTTGCCAGAGAATTGGCAAAACTAGCAGCATGGCTGGACTCTCTGTGGTGCAACCCAGTAATGCAGTCCCATACATATCTGAAACTGGATCAATTCCTAAATGGGGCCTGTTTATTCCCCCTCCCCAAGCCTGGCTATTTTTCCTCCTAGTTCATTTCCGCAAGTGAGCGCAGTGGCCATTCCATACCACAGTAATTCCTCCAAGCACAATATCTGCCATTGCACGAAGGTAAGAGACCATCCCAGCTTGGGAATCAGAGCAACAGCAGAGCATCAGGACATGATTCTGTGGCCATTGGCCAAGAGGAGCTTTATAGGAAGTAAGATGATGCTGAATACAAAATATACCTGCCCAGTGTGGAGGTGCAAGAGGGCCCCTAAAGAGTAGAAACAAAGTGGTGCAAGTGACAGGAAAGGCAGATAGGGCATGCATACAGGCATGAAGCAGGAAGCAGGAAGGTGAAGCAGGAAACTGCTGCCAAGGTGCTACTCATCCACAGGCACTCACCAGCAATGCCAAGGGCAGGGATGGAGAGTAAGAAAGTCTCCATTCAGAGAAGAAAGCCCCTTCAACAGCAGGGTCTCTGATCATCAAGGAAAGGAAACCAATGGCACCTACTGGATTTGCTGACCATGGTCTTTCTGAGCTATAATAGTTTAAGGTTCTTTAGATGGTATCATGACCCTCCAGTTTTGCTTCTAAAGAGCACTTTCAGTGAGTTTGTTGGTTGAAGATCAGAGGAAATATAGTGTTTTATTGTTAGAGTGAAAGGAAATGCTTTTTCTTCTCTTGTACATTTATGCTATCTGCTATATTCCTGGGTCACCTAGAGGTCATGTAGCAGAAAACCCTCTTTGTGCAGTGATCCATTTTAAATTCTACAAAGAAACTAAACGCAGATACAGTAGATTATCAGTTGATTAACAGTCTCATGTAGGAAAGCTTAAAGCCTCAAACCATTCTGTCTATATTATGGTCTGCCACCTTAGAATATTCACTAGCCAAAAGGATGCATTATGATCCATCACTCAGTCACAGCCCTAGTGCTCTAGTGTGTTGTGATTAGGTGATGGGCTGCACCTCATCCACAGAAGCATCCTTCTGTGGGGGTATAGTAGTGCATTGGTCAGGAGGACCATTCCTTCCTATTAAGTGCAATCGGTAGAATTTAGTTACATCAGCTCTTGAACTGGTATAACTCTGAGTGCTCATGTAGAGGCTCCTGTAGGAGAGGGAAGGGAGGGAGGTTTGATGAGGCATAAAAGTGTGCACCATCCCCTTTTGGGGCTTCTTGCAGTATCTCCTACTCAGCAGAGCAGATCCCCAGAGCGATGGATCCATGGAAGAGAAGGGTAGTAGGGCATCATTACCTCCTCCAGCCAATAGATTTTTTTAACTTAGGTATGCAATGTACAAAGACATGCTGCTTACCCATAATTGTAGTTCATCAAGCACTCATCTGCAATGTCAATAGGTACAGGCACCTGTACATCACTTCAGTCTGGAAAACTCCTAGTCTTGGAGAGAGCCCTGTCCTCATCCCTTACACATGCAGAAGGGGTGTTGCTCCTGCATTCATGCTCACTTCAGCTTCCAGCTCATACAACAGTTATAAAACCAGAAGTGAAACAGAAACACAGAAAAGACATCACCTGTGATGATTTAGGAGGGAGGGTTGTATGACTGTCCAGATGACCACTCAAACATCTATAGCTGCAGGTAAGCAACCCATCTTTCTTCTTTGTGGTCTCTGTGTAGTCACACATCTAGGCAAAGAGGAAAGCTTACTTCCTGGTGGCAGGGGAAGTACTAGGAAGCCTTTGAACTTCCAAAAGAAGTACTGATCCTGGCCTGGACATCCAGCCAATAGTTGCAGACAAATGTTGAGGGTTGGCGTCACATAGCTGTTCTGGAAGATTAGTTCACACAATCTCTGGGACTTTTACAGCTGGTAACACAGATGGACAATTGAGGGAATCCAGCAAAAGAAACACAAAGAGTAGATAACCTGTTCTTTTATGGAACTTACATAGCAGAGGAATAACTTTTCACTCTGCCCAATTGTTACAAATATTGCAGCATATTAGTATATATAAATGTATATTACTGAGGAAAGGTCAGTAAGTCCTCCCTTCAGTGCAAACTGACTATTCATGGGTTAGCTGGGCTTGAACAACAAAACCAGGGGCAATGATTACATTAGTGGGATTTGAGAGGACATGCTAGCAAACTTTTCTAGAACAAGTGTGGGTGGGGTAGGGGCATCAGTCTCGACACTTCTTGATACAAAAGTGGCTTCATTGCAAGGAACTTCTTAGGCAGGTCAGAACTGAAATATCGGTCACTATCAACTGAGTACAATGGTACCTTGGCTCACAAATTTAATCCATTCCAGGACTCTGGTCGTGACCCAAATTGGTTGTGAGCCAAGTTAAATTTCCCCATAAGGTTCAATGTAAGTAAGATTAATCCATTCTGTAACTGTTTTTTAAATCAGAAAAATGTGAAGCAAAGTGACAAACAACAACAAAGCTCGCGGCCATCTCCCCCCGAGCACGAGTGCGGTCATCTCCCTGCCCCCCTCCCAGTACGACCACGATCGCGCCCATCATCCCTGCATGCACCCATCATCCCGGAGCACTGGGAAGGGAAGAGAGGGGCGCGAATGCTGGCGCATGGGGGGGGGGAGATGGGCGCAATCATAGGGAGGGGAGATGGCCAAGATCACGGTCATGATCACGGTCACCACCCAATGCGGAGTTTGAAACCTGAGTCAAAATTTTTATGAAATTTTTGTTCATAACCCGATTTGGTCGTGAACTAAGGTGTTTGTGAGCCGAGGTACCACTGTATATACAAGCTTTTGGGTTTGCTTCAAGACCAACAACAATTCTGGAGGCTTATCCCTTTCTTAAGATTATCAGAATAATCTGCTCAGGCTTAACCAGAAACTTTACCAATAGCTTGGAGCCAGGAGTTGTAAGTGCCACAAGGATGCTGGTAGGAGGGTGAGGTCAGGCACTATCAAGTCCAGCAGCAACACAGACAGCCCTTATCACAAAAGTAGCAATCAAAGACCTGGTGGTTTCTAGGAAGCCCCTGCATTTTCCCCTAGAAATTGAAGAAACAACCAGCTGAAGCACCAGTAACAGCTAAAAACACCAGTGAACAATGGAAAGCATGAAAAAATATAAAGAACAACTAAACAGAAAAGAAGGAAGGAAGGAAGGAAGGAAGGAAGGAAGGAAGGAAGGAAGGAAGGAAAGAAGGAAGGAAGGAAGGAAGGCTCTTTTTTTCTTTAGCCTATGGCAAATATATCCCGAAGCTACTGTTGTGGTGGTTGAAAGAATACTGAGGAACAGTATGGTAGCCATGATCCTTGAGAACGTGATCAGAGAGCAGGGCAGAGCTGCTGCCACAACTCTATGCTATGTAAGTTTTCCCGAAAGTAGCTCTGCTCAACACACACACATACTCCTAGACAACACATATCATTAAACCATTAAATATATAGGAAATACTTCTGAATTATATCGTTGGTATTTATCAGTTTCATTCAGCAGAACAAAGCTTACACATAGCCCTTTACTCATACTTCATACCAACCATTTGCTTCAAAGAATTCTTATACTTTTTCAAAATAGTAACCTATACTTATTTATCTGTGTATTAACATAGAATTTTGTACGCAATTCAGTATAGGAGAAGATCTTGTATGAGTGACAAACAGGTTAAATGACCTTATAAGCTCTTCGTTTGTCTTCACTTTTAAAACGGTCAAATTACTGGAACCTTTAAATATCTCCATAAGACGATTTAGAGCATTGTGAACCAATTTGCGAAGCAGCTCTTGAAAGATCCTGTCCACAAGCTGCAGAAACCTAGAAAACCGTTCCATAACATGCCGCCATCCTGCTATCTCAAAGTGTTTCGGTTTCTCTGTGACATCATCTGATAAGTGCTGAAAAAGCCATTCAGCTCCCTTCATTTCTGCCACCTAAAGTATTGTAAAAACAAATTTGGAAAATAATTCAGTACGTGCCAAACATCACTTCTTGAGACTGAACATTATGCTATTTTGCCATGCCTGGTCTTCTCTGTTAGAATTGCTTTTAGTGAAAGAAATGTCTCTCATTTGGAGTATCTAAATCCAGCTCAGTATTGTATTTTTATACTCTTTGGAAGTGCCTCTCCAATGTTCCAGGTAGGATTGAACCTGGGATCTTTTAAATTTACGAGCACAATCCAATGACACCTATAATTCCACCTTAAAACAAACTTTTTGGTTCATCTAGCTTCCTTTCCCCTTGCTGGAAGGCCAGGCAATAGAGAGCCTGATGAATCTAATGCAGAGGTGACAGCTTCCAGAGGGCTGCATTGCCCCCCATCCATCACTGCCTCCCTGCTCCTATTATCCCACTAAATGCATTCAGTGGTACAGCAACAGGGAAATAATGACTCATCTTAAAAGCAAAAGGCTACTGAATTTTGCTGATGGAGACTATTGTGTTTTACAGTATATGGAACTTTTCTTCCTCCTGCTGTCACTGAGTCTTAGCAGTACAGGCAGAGCACTGGGGATCAGCAAAAGATGGATGCATGAAACCTGCTAGATGTCCACCCTGATGCCGTGATCCATATCGCTGCTTCTTCTTCCTGTCCCAACCTGCCACTTGCCCTTCTTTTTCCCTGTTCAACTTCCTTCCGAGGTTTCTGCTGTGACCATGGAAGAGGAGTTACAAGCTGAGCTTTTCACAGTTCATGGGGAGGGGGAGATTCCCACTCATATTTTCCCTCCCGCCAAGTCATAGCTGTGTCTATGGCCTAAGGTGCAGCAGGGGGCCCTCATCATCCTGTGCTCCCTGGGACCATAGGACTGCTCTGTAAAGCATTGGTGCGGTAATAGAAATATAGCCATTACCCTCCTAGTTTCTCTTCCTTACTGAGAATAGTGAATGAAAAATACAACGAAACTACAAAGTATGCCCTTTCTCTTGCCACGACAGAGCTTTTTACACATTTCTGAAGTCTATTCAAGAATCAATATATTCTAAATAAAAGTAAAAAATATACAATAGAGTGATTTAATTACCCTTAAGAAAGCACTCCGAATTACTTTGATTACTTTGTCTTTAAAAGTTTGTATTTGAGCAAGTGCTTGTTGACTTTGTTGAAACTGTTTCTCACAAAATTCTTCCAAAGTATATGTGTAGGATGTGTCTATCTAAGAAACCAAAACAAAGAAATATTTTTATAGCTAGAACTGATGTGAGTTTCTGTTCCCCTTTAAACCATTCCATTCACTAAAATGCAAAGTGATGAAACAAAGCGAATTAATTATATGCACATTTCCTTTTCAGTTACTTCCCATCTATGAGATCTGTGTATAATTCCCTGTCAAAAAATGCGCATTTTTCCCAAATGTTTTTTTAAATCCCTAGAGGTTGCAGAATGGGGTATGCTTCACAAAATGGCTCCATTCTCTCCATCCCATTCAGCCACCTTTGTCAGAATTTTTTTTGCCACCCATACGGAACCCGCAGTAAAAGTTCCAAAAATGAGCTATGGAAAGGTCTCTTTCTGGACTTGCTGGAGACTTGGGGAATGTTCCTAAGGCAGCAGGCACTGAAAAGTATCACTATGATGCTCAAAACTAAGGAGATTACCTTGCTATTTTGGTTCACTTAACTTCACAATGTCTTTTCCATTTGCTGGTATGTAGCACCTGACAGCTGTCAATTATATGCAATTTTGCCTGTACACAATCTCACCTCATTATTCTGTTATTGCTGAACAGCTGTAACTGACAAGGTAATAGACCAGGAAAGACTGCACATATTTTTGACAGCTGTAAGTTCACACTTCTGCAACTCTGAAAGACCAACATTTTTTAAAAAGTGAAATGCTTGTGCAGCCTGAAAGAAAAACGAGACAGCAATGGGAGCTCCAAAGTTCTACCTGGGCATCAGTGGAGCGGCTATCACTAGCAGTAGCAAAGGGTTCTGGAAAAAATATCCCAAAAAGGCAAACAAAAACAGGGCTACGATCAGACCAGGGACAGAGAGATAAGAGGGTTCTGCCATGCAGGACCCTGGGACACTGGCTAGAGTACCAGGGACAAGGAGGAGAGCCCCGTCATCTGTAGCCCCGTCATCTGTAGGAGTACAAGGAGTTGTTCCATGGACAACCCACACTGCAAAGTCTAATCAGCAGGGTGACTTGCCTTGTCATGCCAATTTATCCAGTATGTTTACAGATATAATCATCTATTGTATTTAATCATATAGAACTAAGACCAGTACAGACATTTACAACAATATTAGTCATATTATCATGTATGCCACTCATAATGTGAATGGAACCTGAGCCAGTAGGTCCAGGTGTCCCAAACCAAATACTAAATTTTTATTGCCCTGAATCACAGCAGTATGAAAACTAAAATGTATTTAAAACTGAACACAAACCAGAACCAAAGCAATATTTTAACAGGCTAATTTTCTGATACAGATAGTTCAAGGGGAATCTTAACAAATAGAAATACTGATACACTAAAGTCATACTGTATTACTAAAGTCATACTGTATTAGCTCCTTTAGTTTTGCTGGCTTCCTCAAGACATATTTCTTGAGTAGATATAATTTTTATTCCCATCCACTTATAGTACTGTTTCTGACCTTTATGAAATGGATAGCTTTATCTTCTGAAGATATGTGCCTCTCGGGGTTACTAATATCCACACACAATCCTTGCATATAAAGCAAACATTTCTGTAATATTTCATCAGCAAAAAACAGTTGCTCATACATCACCATTCTGTAAACAAGAAATGGCGTTCTAAGTGTAAAAATCATACAAATTCTCACTTTAAAGTAATACATTTTAGGCAGAAACTTAAAATTACATTGGCTTCCATAAGACATGTAAGGTATGTAAAAATCACGATCCTAATATTGATTATCAGCTGAATTATAAACACTTCACTTGTAGTTTCCAGTTCATTCAGAACTATATGCAGGACAGTTCTGAATGAACACCTTGTTTGTTAATTTACCCTGCAACATTTCTTAATGCTTTTATATTGGGAATTGATGGCAAAACTCTACCATTTAGTTCACACATATTTTGTCATATTTTCATATGGGATATCTCCTCTCATTTGCCATTTAACATAATATCAAAAGAGTTTATTCCCCTACCATGCTTCAGTAAAATTTTTCAGAAAGATGGCCCATAGTGTGAAGAATTTTTTACTTAGAGTGAACACATCATAAATGATTAAAGCTCAGTAATGAAGTAAAATAGTTGCTGTTCACTGCATTAGTGATGGTTACTTTTCCCAAATCCAACTGAGAGTTTTCTAGGACATGAGCTCATCTCAAACACATGCTTTAAAACATATTCAAAATGCCAAGTGCTAGTATAATGGGAGTTGCAGAGAAAGTAGCATGGTTTCTCCCACTCAGAATATAGGGAAGGGGGGAAAGAATGCAAACAAGAATTTCCCTTCCTCTGCTCTAAAACTCTTTACCAACTGTACACATGTATGTGGTTGTGTTTATACTTTTTGAGTATGAAGTAGGTTGGTCTGATGAAAAAAACAAAGAAAGGGGATTTCTCTAGCTTTGTTCTCTCCTATTCTTCAGCTTTGTGCTGGTGCACACAAAGGGAATAAGATGGTAGAACTGTGGACTGTGACACTTCAGACTATTTTTTTAATGTTCTCTGGCATACAAAAATTTCATGCAATTAAAAAAGGAACACATCAGGAAGATTGCCTAGGTATAATATATGGTATATTGTTTGTGTGCTTGTGTGTGAAAGAAATACACACATACATTCACAACTTTTTAAAATGTAAATGTGTATATATATGGTAAAAAGAAAGGTCCCAGATTCTACATCCACTGTAAATGATGAAATTATAAAACTTCTTAAACTGAAAGCCAATGCTGTGTAGTGTTTGGAGTATTGGATTGCAAGTCAGGAGATATGGATTCTAATGTCCATTCTCTGATGAAGTTCACTGAATGACTTTGGACCTATCTCACAGGGTTGTTGTAAAGACAAAATAAACTATAGAATGCCTTGGGTTGTAATGTGATGATATTCACTTCTGATTTATAAAATATATGCAACTCACAAACCTGCCATAAACCCACAATGTACAGTACACCTGTCCACTCCAGACTGAATATTGCCCCTCTCTCATAACTCAGCTTGATTGAGATAGTGACTGGGTTCCCAAAACAAGCTAAACCATGATGATGGAGGGGGAGATTTATCATGTGAACACCACCTGCTTCTCTTGAGGTGGCTTATAAATTATGGTTTAAGAAACTCCCCATGGCTTAAAACTCCATCTAAATCAGCCACAGCCAAGCCAAAAATATGAAGAGTCCCGTGGGGGGCAAAAAAGTGCCAGTGCTTTGGTCAAGGGGCTCTAGCTGATGATGATGAGGCAAAGTGCCCAAGCAGCCCTATGTACTGCTGTTATTGGCTTTCGCAGTGCTTCTGCTAATGCCGGATCCCACCCTGCCCCTGGCATCAGCAGGAGCACAGGGAGAAGCTGCAGGGGCCCACAGGGGAAGAACTAGCCACTCAGTCTTGCTTCCTAACTCAGAAGCAAGTCCACATCGCTGCATCCCATCCACTAGGATGTCGCTGTATCTCTGGCAGTGGGTGGAAGCGAGTTCTTCTGCCATCCTTGAGACTGGCTGGTATGGAGGCAAGGAAGCACTTCTGCCCCATCTTCCCTCACCCTCCCGGAGCATTTCCACCACTCCAAGTAGGAAATGTGCTGGGCAGGCGGCGGTGCCACTGGTGCCTGCCCGCACCAACTTCCCAAGCCCTAGTCGGGAGCTGGAAAGGGCATCTTTCGAGGCGCTGCACAAACCAAGGCCGAGCGCCGGCCATCGCCTCCGCACCTGACTCCTGCTCGCGAGTCAGTATGGGAGCGGGGCTGTTCTGCCTGTCAGCGACCGGCGTGCACACGCGCCGACGGACAGCATCTACCACAGCCCGCCTAGTGGGAACTCCCCTGAGCCGGCGGGCGGGCAGCGGCTGAACGGCGGGCAGGGGATGAGGGGACCAGCGCTAGGCGCGCCGCGGCAGGAAAGCGGCAAGGCCCGCGGGGACGCGGAGCCCAGCACGAGACACCCTTTCCCCGTGGGGACGGAAGGGGCGCCTCAGTCGGGCTCCAGTGCGCCGCATGAGGCGGTTCTTCCCTTCTCCCAGGCCCCCCACCCCCTCGGTCCCCCGCTCCGCGCTCCAGCCGCTGCCCGCGGCGGATGGCACCTGACGCAAGTTCCCCCTTTCGGCGGCTCTCATCCAGCGCGGCTCCGTGCTCGCTCCAGCGCAGTGTCCCATGGGATACGGCTAGAGGGCCGAGGCGAAAGCGGAGGCCCGGGACCCTTGCTGTGCCCTCCCGCAGCTCCTGAAGCCCAAGGCTATAGCCGTCCTGAGGTTATAGGATGGCCATGCAACGCCGCACAATGTAGAGAGCTGGAGAATCCATGCCCAGGTCCTCTCAGGCTTGTTAGTGACTGGTAACTGAACTTGCCCGTCTGGGTGCTGCCCAACCCCACAGAAATAATGCTTGTGTTGTGTATTATTTTTCTTTGTGGCTGGCTGGTTGACAAAGAGCGAAGAGAAGGCTGAGCCAGTCTCAGAGCCCAGCTGACTCTCCTCCCTCCGCATATTGGAGACCTTTTTTTCGATGCGTTATTCTATAGGTTTAGTGAGCTCATCTGGCATTTCATTTGTTTTTAACGAACTACATATTTCTCAACTCCTTTCTACTTGGTTCTTTAATCAGTTTATTGAATTGAAAACTAAATTTCATTCTCTTGCCTAACCTGGACTTCGTTTTACTCATACAGTGGATTCTTTGCTAAACATAACTTGTGTTTAAAGGAGGCTCTAAAATAGTGGTCCACACAAAAAAGTTCTCTCCCTTCCAACATAAGCTGACTTAAAGTGCAATCCTATGCAAATTTAGGCAGCATTCTGGGAGCAATAGGACCTTTTTCTGAGTAACCATGCATAGGCTTCCATCCTAGACTTTTAAGGCCTAAAAGATATTAAAACTATGTGAGTGGTGGTGGTACTCCCTGTGAGGAATAAAAAGGTTTCTTGAAGCATGTTCTACTCAGCACAGTTAGTGATGCAATCATGTTGGTTTGTCATAATTGCATAATTTACTGACATTTTTAAAGATAATAGGTTCTCCAATTGTTTACACTAATAGCTGCTATTCACACTTACTTGCTCCTTTTTACTTTTGATCTCTTAACATTGTTTCTCCAGTTGATAAAATATTTCTTTTTTCTGGAAGGAAAAAGAAAAGTTTGTAAAAAGGTAGAAGGATCCAGAAAAATCACATAAACAAAAGATGACTGAACTGCAAAATTTATTTTCTTTAAGCCACAAACAATTTTAAAATATTTAACTTAATGCTCAGTGAATTCAAATTTGGTAGTGTTGTTATTTATTTAAAAATCAATATAGGTGAACAACATAAACAACATAACAACATGAGCAACAGAAACAAAAGTCTAGGCATCTGTTTCAGTGAGCTTACGATTTAAAAGTCAGCAGTGAAGCACCCAATAGGAAACTAGTTTGTTGTACTTACTAGAACAGGAATGGGAAGCCATAGATATTTTGGCCTATAACTCCCATCAGCCCTAGCCAGCACAAGCACATAACAAGGGACCATGAGAGTTGTAGGCCAAAACACCTGGGGGACCACAAGTCCCATCCATGGATTGGAGTGTTGGACTAGCACTGGGGACACTCAGATTCACACCCCCATTCAAGCACACTGTGTGACAGTGAACCAACATACTTCACTGGGTTCTTGTGAGAATAAACTGGAGTCAATTGCCATAAACACCACTTTGACTTGCTTGAGGAAAGTAAAGGTGTAATTAAGATAATTAGAGTAGGAAGAAATGAGAGAGGCAAGAGCAAATGTGGGCAAATGTCATTGCATGTGCTTGGGTTTCATTCTGGTTAGTGACAGCTATATTACAAAAACAAAAATAGAGCAAATGTGAGATTGGGAAGATGAATGAAAGTAAAAGTACAAGCTTACAGGCAAGGTAAAATTATGCCTCAGAGAGAGATTTACACGGAAAAAAATGTGAAAAATTTGAATACAGAAGGTCACTGCATGCATAATAGGCATCATGGCAGGAAGCCCTTTATGCCCATGATAAAATAGGTAAGAGAGTACATTCTAAGGCTCATGTGTATCTGGTTCATCAGTTTCATGAAGGGTCTGTGACAAGTGAAAAGGGGCAGTTTATCTACTCTGTCACCATGAAGTGACATGGTACTAATTTAGGGATATGATAGAATAGTCCCAGAAAGAAAAAACTACTTTCCAGAGAATTATGCAGAAGTGACCTCTCATGCTGTCAACTGGTCAGATACAAAGGTCATGTCATCAGCCCTACCAATCACTTTTAAAGGCCCTCAAATCCTGACAGTTTCTGGAGAGTGCTCACAAGCTAAGACAGAAAGCTATCTCCCTGTAATTTCTTCATTGGTTCCCTTTATGACTTATCCTTTTGCGATCTGAGTGATGTTCTGACCTGTGCATTACTTTGTACATGATAAATGAGCAATGAAAGACTAGATCCAGGAACAGAGCTATCTAGTTTCCTTGAGCTTCATTATGGTATATATTGTGTATATAACACATTTATAACATCACTCAGTATCACACACATACTGAGTACCTGCAGTCGTTTCCCCATGTCACCTACTCCACTCACAGCATCCAAAATATATCTAGTAGAACTGAGCACTCTCATGCAAATCATCACATCCTCTTTACTGCTTACATATTTCCCCTTTAGAGCTACAGCCAGGCATACTTAATGACAGAATGTCTAATGATGAGGACAGATGAATATTCTCTCATTGCTAAGTATTTAGTCACTGTTGGGTTCTCTAAGTAGGAAGCAGGGGTAGAAAGGATGTACTTTACGACTTCTCTACACAAGGCAGTTATTTCGTCCTGGGCCTTTTCATAATGTCATCCTCCAGGGCCTCTCTTGTGTTTTCCAGCCGTTTTTTCAGCTTTTTTTTTTTTTTAAGAGCATGGATATTGAACTATTAAATTTCAAGCTGGAAAAAACAGTCTCATGAAAAGTCACAAATGCACTATACTGCACTCACCACAAAGTCACCTCGTACTTGGTTAGTAGAATATATACAAAGACAGAACAATACAAACCTGAAGAGACAAACCCCTGGATAAGAGAAATACTTTTGCTCTTGAGGCCCTGACCAGCCTCAGGAAACTGGTGGGTTAAGCCTTCCTGTAGAGAAACCCTTAAATCAAACTTTGTTCATAACTCAAAGTGGTACGATGGAGTGAGCTCCCTATTTTCCTTTGATTCCTAAAATATAAACTGGTTAAAGCTTTGTATTCTGAATTTGATATTTTAAGAAAATACAATGTTAATGATAATAGGCTGGATCCAGAGACCTGTTAATGGAAAGAATTCTGGCAGTGGTATTCTGGGAACAGTTGTGTAAGAGCTACACAACTAATAGAAGACCTCATGCAAAAGATTGTACAGCATCTTGAAATCTTGCAGAAGAACATGCTGAGACCATGTGCCTTACAGAGTTGGAGCACATCTGGTTTTCTGTTCTTTTCATGAGTTTACAACATATAGAAGAGCATATCTGGATTCACTTGATTAGTTCCAATAACACAATTCTTACCTGAAATCAGTGCATATATCTATACAACGTAATGCATAATAAAGTTGCCTTTCATATAGCCACTCCATCACTGGTATTATTTCCATCTGCTGTTTTCCACTCACTGAAGTAAACTATGAAGAAAAATGAAGCAAAGACTTGTTTCAGGAGTTCAAAGATGAACTGCATCTGGGCTATTATGGAATTACTTTTCATCATTACAAATTATTATCAATTGCCTGGATGATGCTCCCTCAAGAATTCTGACTTTGCTGTTTACAAACAACATCCTTGAAGGCAGCAATGGGAACATGTGGCCCTCCTGATACTAGAATTCCCATTATACCTTACCACTGGCTATGCCATCTAGGCCTTGTGGGAACTACAAACCAACAACATTTGGAGGGTCAAACATTCCATTTTAAGAAATACCTTGGAAAAAAGCAAAGATAGCAACACTTCTATCAAAACAGCAATCAGTAACCTGCACAGTTAAGGACACTACGGACCATGTCTTTTCTGTGTTTTTACCTCTAGAGGGTGCTCGTGAATTATATTAAAAAATACCTATAAGCATTACTTATTATTCTTTTAACTCTTATGACTGCTTAATGAAAAGAAATAAGAATGTCACATTATGAATTCTCTCTGCAAACATAACCCCTGTATTAGTAGAAGATTTTTAATATATATACTCACAATTCTGTCATTTATCTCTAAAACCATATATTCAACACTTGCTGTTGAAATGCTAACAATATCTCTGTGCTCAATTTGATGATCCTGTCATCACTCAACAAGCAATTAGGCCTCTGCTGTGGAAGAACCCTCTGAGGAGAACAGATCCCTCTGACATCTGTTTCAGTTCCTCCCTCCTAAACATCAGAAAGACCTCAGTTTTTCAAATTCACCAAATGATTCTAGAGGATCTGCTGTTGGAGCCCAATAGGCATTTTTCCCAGCACACTTATTTCCTTTAAAGGGGTTTAAAACTAATTTATATGTGGTTTATTGTATAACATTTTATAGTCGGTTCAAAGTGCTATATAAATAAAATTAAACAATAATACACTTAGATCACTTTGTGTGGCACAATATATTAAAATCTACCTTTCCTAAAATGCATAGTGTACACTTATATGAACATCAGCTGCAAAATGTTTTGTTTTTGCATGTATTGTTACTTTATAACTAATTATTTTATTTATTTGTGTTTGTTTTTATTAAACTGCCACTTCCCTTTATTGTCTCCATGCTAAAAAGTGGGTTTACACTAAGTAGCGTAGGTTGGAACCTTTTGACACGTACATTTTTACAGCAGAATCCTTTGCACTGTCTCTTTTAAACACACTAGAATATGGGGAAACTACGGTATGATCTTCTGGTAATCATTTGAAACAAAACCATTGATTTTTATGTTCCAACAGGTTGAGAATCACTTTGTGCCTTATGCATTTGGCCATCGAGTGGCACAGACAAGCTTAGCAGGGCAGGTAATGGGAAGGTAGCAGGATGCAGGGTAGCAAGGTAGAATCAGGAAAAGGCACTACAAGATCAAAGCAGCAGAAAAAGTGTTTTGACAAATGTAGACCATTCCTTATTTATGATGTGTCCAGCTGATCCTTGTTGGGAGCTCGCTTCACAGATTAAGAAGCAATGGATTTAATGGGACAATGCTTGGGCCGGCAGCTGCAGACTGCAGCATTCTGAAGTGGTCGCTATTGAGCCTGTATCCTTTGCAGTCCTGGATTCAGACTCTTCAGCGGTCCACAGTCTGATGATGCATCCTCCCCCAGTGAAGTCAGCAAGCACTTCATGTCAAAGCGTGCTGCAGTGTTCCTTGCTATGAGTGTAGAAAGAGCCACAGGAGGAGTTACTGACAGAGAATCAGTAAATTCAGGGCTGAGGAAGAGGTCTTGTTACCTTGGATACATATGATGCTGTAATTGTCCAGTATTCTTTACTTTGCTTAGCCACATGAGTAGAGACTACTTGAAGGTCATATGGATCATAGTCTGCTTTAGGGTCATTCCTGCTTCTTATGAGACAGTATACATATTCTCCATCGTCTTTTGGTGATGGGGTTGTCTGTTAACAGAAAATCAGAACAGCAAAAAGAAAATAGTTTGAAATTATTATGTAATCTGTTATTCATTCTGACATGCACATATAACATTAAATGCTTCAGCATGTTTAAAATACTATATAAAACAGAAGAGCAGTTCATTGGTGTTGATAATAAACACAATGAAGCCCCAGTATAATAGGAAAAAAATGTGAACTTCACAGCCTATGTGCTTTTTGAATTATTAGCCCTAACCAGCCATTGTATGTCTAAGGGATGTTATGATGAAGCTGCCAGGTATTAAAATCTGCAGGAGATGCTCTTTTGAGGGCACCATGGCCTACAAGAGCCATAGTTTGTCAGGCATGTTTGTCAGGCCTTTCCCCTGCATAGTTCCCAAACTCTGTAACTGTAACTTGCTCCTGGGTTATGAAGCAGATCTGCCAGCCTTGTAATCCTGCTCCAGCATTCTTTATGGGGACTTCTCCTAGTGGAAAGCAAGATCCCACTATTTCCTTTCCTCTCACAAGGGGTTTCTCTCAGTGCCTCCAGCACTTCCAAAATGGGAGTGTGGCAAAAGTAAAGACAGTAATGCTGTCATCCTATAGGTTTCTAAGAGAATAGTAACCCCCACACACATCATAACAACCTCAGTTGCAGGTGGGTAAAACACATCCATAGCAAAAGATGGTTCAAAATATCTTAAGAGATAGCGGGGCAGTCAGCAACTCCAACACATGGAATCCCTGTATATTCTCCAGGAATAGACAAAGGGGGAAATACTCCTTCCCATCTCTGTCCCCACAGGGTCTGTCCTCAGGGCCAGCCAGGTGATTGGACCTGGTTTTTCCCAGTCTGCTATGGGGCCATATAGAAGCATGGAAGGCAGGTCTCCTCTCTTCCTCCCATGCAGTACATAGGAGTCCATCCAATGAGAGAGCATCCCTTATATCAGAATCGGTTCTGCATCAGTTGCCTTGACTGCTGCTGTTTTGTGAAAAAGCGGGATGCAATAACACAAAAATAAGTTTCAATAAATATGCAGGTACTTGACCAGTTAAACCAAAATGGAGGGGAATATTTCATATAAAGCATTTTACAGATCTTATTTATTGAATTTTAAGAATTTTAACACTAGTGTAGACAAGGATCCTAGTGACAAAGTGAAATATATCTTGCACACAGAACAAAATTCAACAGTAGGCTGTGAAAAGGCTTTTGCTTGCAATATAGGAATTTCCCCTCCCTTCTTCCTCCTTGTGCCCCTCATCTGCTCCAGAGTGCCCTTGGTGGGAGATGTTAACTGGATACCATCCATATAAGATTCCCTCACTTTATAATGGCTTACAGTGATATATGATTGAAGAAAATAGAAACAGTTTCAGAAGCAGTTTTCCTGTATCCTCTCAAATCTCCTAAGCCAAAATATTTCATTTATGTATTGCTCTCTGTCAATTTCATTCCTCCTGAATCATAATAAAAGGCACATCTCGTGAAAACAGACATATTTATGTTTCGTTACAATAATTGTAACACTGTAAAAAAATTAAAAGGAGACACTGCAGTTAAAAAAATCTTTTAAAATCAATTAGTGATCCCCCCTGAAGGCATGGAACTTTTGCCAGCATCTGAAAAGCTTTATTTGCAAAAACAAAAAAAACAAAACAAAACCAAAAAACAAAAAAATCCTACTGTTAATTAATATTCTCGATGCTAGACATGTCTAAAGGAGCTTCCACACATTGCATTTTTCCAGAAAAATGATGTAATTAGAGCAACAGTCATTTACAGTACAAACATTGGTGGATTGGCCTCATTTGGACTGCAGGAATTAGAGCTGTCATTGTCTTATAAACAGCAACAGTAACTCTAACTTCTGCAAGAGAAAAAACTTTCCTTAATGAGATCTATTCAGTTCCATATCTTATCTTTATAATACCATTATGGTTTAATGCGACCATAAGGTAATAAACATTGGCAAAGAAGGAGAATGTTTTAAATATGTGTTTAAGTCAGGGGACCGTGACCTTTTTGGACCTTTTTGGCCACATTTGGGTATTTTAGACACTGCTGTTGATACTACCACAAAATGCTTACCCACAGAGGATGCAAAACAGCTGCCACGTGGTTGTGATTAATCAAAGTTAAGCGAAAGAGATGCTGGGGTTAAAGAAAGTGATAGTTTGATTAGAGGCTGGGAGGGAGGACAATTGCAGAGGGCAAGGGGAGAGAAAGAGATGGCTAAATGCTAGAAAAGGAGAAAAGGAGTCTAGAAACTGGGGAGAGAGTTGTGGGGAGAGAAATAACAGAGGTAGAGACCGGGAATGATGAGCAAGACTGCAAAGGGGTGAGGTCTGTACAGGTGAAGGATGCCCAAAGGCAACACCTGCTTTCTTTGCAGGATACAGGAGCAGAAAGGAGAATGTGGCACTCTAATGTTGTCCAAGCTTTGTATTCAACATAAACCTTTGAAGGGGATAGGGAGTGGAGAGTTTCATGGCTACTTTTGGGGTGGCTGGGAGTGTCACATTGGGTATCCCCGAACTAAGCCATTAGGAGGAGGTATAAGAGACAAGGACATCATCCATACAAAATGCTTTGCTGAGAAGATACAGCTTTACCACCCTGCTCACTGTGCTGGTTGGGAATGATGGGAGTCATAGTCCAACATAGTTGTGGGCTCCAGGTTGGGGAAGGCTGCATTATAAGGCTGAGCACCCATTCTCCCATGGCACACAAACTAGCTGAATTCCAGTGAACCCAGTCCAAAGCAGAAACCAGATACTACTTCCTTGCTCAGATTTTGAGGCATCACCGCAATCCATAGCCATTAAAATCAATGGGAAATTGTCATTAACTTCAACAGCTCCCAAAGTGAATCTTAAATGAATAAATTAAGTATACTGGCTTGAAATGAAAAGGAAAATACCAGTAATGTAGGCTTCTGAAAAGTAGCCAGATCTGCTGATTTAGCTAAATGTCCCCATGGTGGTACTGATGTCTTCCACCCAAGTTTATCTCTCAGTCTCAAAATATGCACTATCACATCATCGATAATGGGCTCTAAGGGAGAACAGAAATCAGTCAGTGCTGTTTTTACCTGCAGTATTTTGTTAACATGATGCAAATGTTTCCAAACAGCAAATTCTTAATCATGTGATAACTACTACATAAAACGCTTGACCTGTGACAAACCCCGCAGATCACTCTTAAATTATGACCATAGTAAGTGACAAACTATGTCAACGTATTGCCAACATATTAAACTAGGGGCTGGCAACCTGAATCAGCTAGAGGACCAGATGACGCCTACCTCCACAGCTCTCTGCAGGCTGAGGGATGCACAAGGGTCATAGCCATAGGATACCATGGTGTGGACAAACTCCTGACGTATTGTGGTCCCTGGAGGGATGCTCTAGCCAGTTTGTCCACTGGGACTTGGCATCACTTCCCCACAGGAGAAGCTGCAGAGCAAAGCTGTTTCCCCTGCCGCCTGCCTTCTCCCACTGGGAAGAGGGCATGGACTGGGCAGAGGTGCTCAGCCTGGCTTGTCTTATGGCTGGTCCACATGGGGAGGTCAAACAATGACCAAGGTTTACGCCACTGCTTGCAGGCACTCCGGGAAGGTGCCGCACGTGTGCAGCATGCTTGCAGTGCTTCTGTGAAGCAATAATTTCTGGTTTGAGGCAGTGCCATTGACGAAACAGACATCCCTAGTCCGAGGCAAACTCATTCTTTTTATCTTGGGGTCTGGCTTCAATCAGTGTTCAGTTAGTAAGCATAAAGTTGTATTTATGCTCAGGCGAGCTCACTCAAGCTCTTCCTGGGTTTGCTCAGTAATTATCCATATTCCTTTTATGGGGGCTGCATAAAGAGAAAAGATTGGCTCATTTTTTTCTGAGTTAATCCAAAGCCAGGAAAAAAATATTTCTTCTCTCATCACTACCAGATTTTCTTGTCACTCCATTAGCCCACTGACACACTGATTAGCAGTACACCAGTCACAAAGCCCAGTCATTTTGGGCCCAGCCTTTTTGAGTTCATAAAAATCTTATCCCAGCCTGGCTTGGGAGAACTTCAGTGGCAATTCTGTATTTATCTCAGTGTATTTTCTATTAATAAGTATATCATAATAGGAATAATTTGCTTAGGGTGAAATTCTATGCACGTTTAAATAGAAAAATGACGTACACTCCCAACATGCACCAGCTGGGACCTCATCGCCCAGCATGCTAGGAGTTGTAGCCCTTTTTCTTGGCACCTTTAAATGCTTTATTCTAAATGGAGTACAAATTCAAAAAAAGATGTGGGTTTTTTACCTTTTGATAGATCACAGACCAAAGCATCAGTGAATAAAACAAATGAGAAGGACACAGGAAGCAGGGAAGGCTTTCAATAGCATAAATCATCAGCACTTGACTTATGACATACATACCAGTTTTGTCGTAAGAGGGAAGAGGCTTTTTTACCCAGACAAATTTGTGACCACCCCCAGCTTGAAATGTCATGCACGTCCTTTTATGGCAACTTAATTGTGTAGAAACAGTCTGATCTTCAGACTTTTCATTTTCCCCTGTAAGAGAGAATCAATATATCTATAAAACCAGTCTCAAGCCAGGATATGGCTATTATTTCAAATCATTACCAGTTTTGCACTTAATATTCTCTGTATTGCTATCTGTACCATGGTACATTTTATTTACATAGTTTGTATTTTTGCCAAAGTCATGATAGTGATTTAAAAATAAGTATCTTTTCCCCAGGGGCTGGGGATCCCCAGTGATCTGATCACTTATTTCCCCCACAATTGTTCCCCTTGGATGGAGTTTCAGTAGATGTGGCTTGTCCTACAAGCTATTCTTGCTGAAATTCTGTCTTCCACACAGACTGTAAAAGGTTCAGGAACACCAGCCTCATTTCACATAAGGCTGCTGTAGCACCCAGGCTGTGTAGACAAACCTCCACCAACCACAGGCTGTCTGTGTGCCACCTGTGGAAGCTATCCCAGCTGTTGTAGCAGCCCATGGACTTCCCTAACCTGGTGCCATCTAGCTCTATTGGCCCACTACCACTTCCTGCATCTCCCCAGCGAGGGATGCGGAAATCTGTAGTCCAAACCATCAGGAGGGCACCAGATTGGGAAAAACTGACACAGCCTTTTAATAGTCTCCTTGTTCATGGACATACTGCTGACTGCAGTAATCTGCATTTGGGTAAAGGCCAATTAACACTGACATTTCTCTGCAATCCAGTCAGTGCAGGAGATCCTGCAGAGAAAGTAATTGGGTAGTTCTCACATGGGCACCAGCCTTACATGTGGATTATGGTACAAGAAAAATGAGGTTGCCATTTCCCACTTAAATAGAATAATTGCTAGGACTTGGTTCCAAATAATATACTTAGGATCATGATGAAAAGCAGCCACCCAATCCTTTCATCCGACCTTTACCCTCCTCCTCTAAAGAAATGCCAAGGCTTGCTGGTCTAGGGCAGAGAAGAAGTAAAGAGCATTTTGCATTTCCCCGAGTGGCAAATGGATAGTTAGGGGATCAAAAGGAGCAGAGAGACAGGAATCCTCGCCTCCTATTCCTACCCTGTGTGAAAGAGATCATGATCTTTATACTGATGTAAACATGCAATATCTAGAGGATATACAGACTTTATACCTATATAGCTAGTGGATGTAGACTTCTCATGTCAGTTTTATTTAATATGTTGTATTAGTCAATATTACTGTTGGTTTTAATTTCTTGTAAACTGCTCAGAGTCTATGGGAATGGGGTGGTATATAAATATTTGGATACATAAAAATATAGCAAGTGAGAGGGCCACTGTAGTGGTTAGAAGGTTGGACTGGGACAAAGTGGATCTGGGTTTGAGTCCTCATTTAGTAATGAGGACCAGCTCACTCTCAGCCTAACCTGCCTCACAGGGTGGTTGTTAACAAATGGAGAGAAACAGAAAATGGAGAGAAGGAAAACCATGCAATCAGCCTGAGTTCCTTGCAAGAGACAGAAAGGTGGGGTATAAATGTAATGTAATATAATTCAAGTGAGGGAAGAATTCTGCTGTCCTGCCCTGCTTACCTTGCAAGAAATTCATAACAACTCCTGCAACACAGACATGAGATGAGAGTGAGCTGCCCCTGGAAAGCTAATTATTTTGAAATAAAGCAACAGCTTGAAGTGATCACATGAATGTCAGCGGGCACTTACTAATATGGTTTATTAGAGGAACTTTATATTTATAGCCTTACAGGGGAAAAGCATGATAGACTTATGAAAGCCAGATTTATTCATAAATAAATAAAATGTGACGACCTCTCCAGAACAGGAATTGTAATAATAATATCCAAATACTAAACAAATATTCAAGCAACTCCAATTTAACACTGAATTTAGTAGGCTTACTCCCAGGTAAATGTGTACAGGATCACAACTTCAATCTTGACATCTGGCTATATTGTTTTAAAATGGAATTTCTCACTAAAACCTTCTCCAAATGCAAGACTCCATAGCTGCTAAGCTACCCCTTGCATTCCTATGATTTCCATAAGGTTTTATTAAGTTCTTTTTCCTGAAGGTAAATCCAAAGTCCCTCCTTTGTAATTTTTCATAGTGCTGGTTTGAAGTGAGAGGTTTTAAAGAACTCCTCAGGCTGGACAAATGGTTGTGTTATGAGGTTTATCTTGACTGGTAGTAACCTATTATAAATCTTATGTAAGGTAATCTTTGTGCAGAAGGAGGGATGCTTGAGCCCCCTCCCAGAGCCATAACAAGGTAAAACCTGATGCTTCTTTTATAACATTTGCACAATTGCATGATGTACATAATAGATCTTGGAAGGGGAACTGCTATTTTTAAGAATTCCATAATGTTTCTACTAGTCCAACAGATAGTCGGAGCTCTCTGTCTAGCCAAAGCCAGCCAGCAGGAACCAGCCATGGCAGGATAAACAACAGAGAAGTGTTCCTCCAAGAAAGAACTAACTTCAGCTGGATGGCCCTCTGAGCTCATCTAGCTGACTTAGCAGCCATGGGCAGGGATGGAGATGTACACTCCAGTGGAGCCACGCCTCTCCCTTCCCACCACCCATCCTCTTTGTGCCCTCCCTGAACTCTTCTGCTGGCTCTCTTGGATGCTTCCTGCAATGCTTTCCACAGTGATTGTGAAGAGGAAGGGGAACAACTCAATCTTGGATTTGTCCTCTCAGAGTCATAGCAGAGTAGGAGTGCTCCATATCCAATGTTCCCTGGGACCATAGGATTGCTCCACCTGCCATTTAAGGATATCTTGATATGTCCTGAGCCTCAACTCATCCATTGTGATTTCCTTCACCTTCAGCAGAAGTGACAGTGGACACACCAACAGTATCACTTAATTCTTCATGGGAAGGAATTATAGGAATCTTCTCTCCAGCCATGTCTTTCAGGTTAGAGTATTCCAAGCGTCGATCCCAGTCAGCTCTTTCAGCATGGTGATCAGTGATTGGCTTTGCTCTTTCCTTGTGTATTCTTGACAAACTAAAAAGAAAATGGAAGAGTAGGAATCTGAAGACTGTTCTAATGTGGTATCTCTTTTTCATTCAGAGGCAACATTTGGTGTGAAAACTGGCAACATATAAAGACATCACATCATTTAAGGAGCTGTTTTTAAACAATGGGTTTTCAGTTAAAACAAGGCTAAACAAGACATTATGAGGAAAAGTGTGATTTCCTTACCATGCTATTGTGTAGTCTGTCGGAAATGTGGAGGGGCACTTACAAGGGAAAACTGGCTGGTGGAAGGGGGGCTTAATCCTTCTGTGATAAACCTAATTCCCTCACTCTGTCCCAGACTAGGAAACTTGCACAGACAGGCACCTGCACACACCAAAATCTGCTCATCTTAGGCAGATTGCTCACCAGGACTTACTTTATGAAGCACATGCTAGAACCACCTGGAGATTGCCTGATTGGGCTACTGACTGGTCAGTTTGACTTTCCAAGCTCTCTATAGGAGCTTCCATTCTCCATAGAATCACCTTAATTTGCAAAATCATGCTTTCTTCTTTGCAAGCTAGCAAAAGGTCAAGAACACAAAGGAGTCCCCTTTGCTTCCCACTCCTACCTGGAAGCTGCTTAGGTGAGTTATTCTTAGGATCTAAGTTCTTAGAATGTAGTCTTAGCTACTTCATTCCATTATTCATTTCATTTCAAAAGCTCCTCTGAATTTTTCTCTGATACACTTTTGAATATATACAATCAATCTGAAACTGAAGATGAATTTGCCTAGACTGAAGTTGGCTTTACTGAGCTCACCTAGACCACTGGGTACGTTCTACTACACCTTTAAGGGATTTAAAAGAAATTCCCGTGCAAGGGCTTACACTTCTTCATAGATACAAGCCATAAGCATGGAGGCCCATGGAGCCGGGCAATGTGCTCTTAATTATTTGAGTGTGGCACCAAATGCCCCTAAACAGGCAACACAGGATGTCTTGCAGGGCTGGCTCTCATAAGGTAAGTTGAAGCCACTCCTTCAGGAAAAAATGGCTAGGTCTGGGAGCATTTGTACTGACAGGTATATCAATCAAATTGCTGATTTCAAATTGCCTCACTCTCAGCCCTACCTGAGCAGCTCACGCAAAGTTGCCAGGTCGTGCCTTGTCTCTCCTTCCAGATGGCTGCAGGCAACATCAACCCCCCCCCACCCACCCCCCATGCAGAGACACATGCACACACACTCTGCCAGCTCTTGCAAACCACAAAGAGTGATGACACACAACATCCTGTACTTGTGCTACTTGCGTCTAACTTGCTGGTCATTTCATGCGGAAATGTTATATGGCCATTGCAAGATCACTATGCTGATCAGCCGCTAGTGTAGCAATAAAAGGATTTTATTTATTTATTTATTTATTAAAACATTTCTATGCCGCCCCTTGCCGTAGCCTCGGGGCGGCTCACAACATAATAAAATACACAATAATGTATTTTATTGATGAACTAGATACACAAATTGTTTATTGTCTCTCTCTCTTCCTCTCTCTTTTAGAGGGGGAGAATGAAGGACAGGACCGCAGCACACAGAAAATGGGCTTAATTATTTCCCACTTCATCACAGCTCTCATGAAAACAGACCCTCACTCCTCAACCTGCTAATCATCCCAGAAGGACTCCCTGCTGAGGATTATTACACTGCCTCTGAGAGAGAAGAGACGTTTGTTGGGAATCAGGGTTGTTGAAGGCGGAAGCAGACTTAAATTGGCATTCAAAATGTACATTCAACCTTTCCAGTAAAAGTTGTGCTAAGGCAGCTAAAAAAATCTTCCTCCCTGTGTGCTGAAGTCCAGTTCCTGATCATCTCCAAACTGCAATTCTTGTTTAAATGAAAAGAAATAGACATGACAATAGAAATAGCTCCAAGATTCTGTCCTTTTGGCTTCTTCTGTAAAATAATAATAGAAGTAACATGAGGTTTACATACACATATTCAAATCCCATCTTTCCTTCTTTGGCCTTTACTTTGTGTTTTCTTGCAGCATCTGCTTTGTAAACAGCCGTACGGAGTTCAGAAGGAATCTCAGCAGGAAACAACTAGATAAGAAACCCAGTAAGAACATATTAATTTTAGTATATCATAACTGGAATACCAGTGACACAGTGTGGCCAATACAAAGCATTTTATAATTAGAGCTATCTGTTACTGCACTTATGCCACCTATATTCGTGTATACTTGATATGCTTTTTCTAGGGTATTTTTCTTATTTTTAAATTTAATCTTATTTCCCAAGCACTTTTCAAGATCATAGTCTTGGAGTCTTATAAAAATTAATCAACTGAGTTCAAAAGAAAAAAGTGTGATATAAATCTAATAAATAAATAAAACATATTAAATATGAACAATTTCAAATCAAGCCCCAATAAAATAATACAAATCTTCATTAAATAAATATAAACAATTTCAAAGGAAACTAGGTTCAGTAAAATACCATTTTAAAATATCTGCCTGAAGCTAATGACATAAACATTTTCAATTAAAAGCTCAAAAAAAAAAAAATCCTTGCCTCTTATCATGTATCATACATCAAAAAATAATACTGAAAGCAAACCCTCTGAAGCCGATCTTGGATTTTCTGCATGGATTATTATCATGCAATCAAAATTCCTTTTTCACAGTTGTTTACACGTTATGTGGATAACTTCATAGACCTCCAGTTTTGTTTCTGTATCTAATGAGCACCTAATTGTGAAAACAAAAATGCCACCCTTCCCACTTGTGTATTTGTGCTGTTCTGCCATACCATGCAAATACACAAGTGGGAAAAGGTGGTCTCTTTTGTTTTCATAATTAAATGCTGCAAATGCTAAAAGTCACATTGCATCTAGAAGTCATCTAGAAGTCACACAGCAGAACACAATCACATAAAAGTGACTATGAAGAAGTCATTTAGAAATCACATGGCAGAATCTAGAAGTCACACAACAGAACAGCAGAAAAGGAAATGTTTTTGTGTAGTACTCAAATCTCAATTGTGCCATAAAATCAAAAGTAGATACAGGGGATTAAGAACTTCACATAGATTTTTTTTTTAAATTCTTTGACAACTTTCTATGGGTGCAAGCATTTCTGAAAGCAATGTGATTCCCAGCCATAAAAAAGGCATCATCTCGTGCATGTCTGGACAGCAAAAAAAAAAAAAAAATCCTACAACTCCCTGGGTGAGAAATATTGGGAGTTGGGGGGTCTTTTGCTGTCTGAAAAAGCTCAGTACTTCACCCTTGAAAAGAGAATTAGCATCATGAATTGTGCCAAGAAAAAATAGTAAGCCAGCAAAGCTGACAAGATGGCTGTTAAATGTTCCATCTTGCAACTGTCAGGCAAAATCTGCTTGTGCATTTTAGACCAACGGAAGCTGCCATACTATCTTCAACAGCAATCCTATGTCAAGTGCATTATGATAGTCCAGGCTTAAAATAAACCATGGAGGATAACAGGAACCAAGATCTTCTCCAGGAAATGCTGCCGCTGGAATATGCGAAATACACTTTATTAAAAGTAAAGTATTAAAGGAAAATCATTGCAAGTCATTACAAGCCATTCCAGTGGGTAGATACAGAGGATTAAGCCATTCCAAATCACATGAATCCATTAGCTGCTACAAGATAAACACCAGTTTATGCCTCAGTGGTTACAGTAACATTCTATATTTGGTAAGGGAATGAGCTATCAAGCTTTGTTTCACTTACTAGAACACCTTAATATTAAAAGTGTTAGTCTGGTTGGTTTCTAGTGAGGTCAGTATTAGTATTAATAGCAATGCTGTTCAATGTAAAAATTGAAGGCTCTCTCACTGGAGGATGTTCCTCTTCCTTAGTACTAGAAGCTTGTTTGGGCTTAATAAACTTTCCTTTCACCATATGTGGTAGTTCGGTCTTTTCTGGTCCAAGCTGGAGACGAGATACCAGTAGTTCGTGTTTGAGTCTTGTCTTCTTGTCCATGTTGGCCTGAAATCTTTGGTCCTAATATCATGAGAATGATCAGAAAGCATGGTGACTTGATTTAAGACATGGTGTTGTTTATTATAAGAACAGCATTCATACCCCTGTTTAGAAAGGCAATTTAAAGAAACCTGGATTTTTAGTGAACATTTTTTAGACTTTTTAAGTGAAAAATCTGTAGTCCTTAAGAATGCCAATTGTTTTATATGAATGTATGAGTATTTTTTCCAGAAGAAATGGTCATGTATTTATAGTGAAAATAACGTACACTATGGTGTAACCATGAGATGCCTTATTACATTATTCTAACAGATTATTATGCAAGCCTTTATGAAATCCACTTTGGAAATTATTTTCTATACTCCTAGAACTTCTGGCTGTGAAAGTTGGACCATAAGGAAGGCTGAGCACTGAAGAATTGAGGCCTTTGAATTGTGGTGCTGGAGGAGACTCCTGCGAGTCCCTTGGACCACAAGGCGATCAAACCGGTCAGTCCTAGAGCAGATCAACCCTGACTGCTCTTTAGAAGGCCAGATACTGAAGATGAAACTCAAATACTTTGGCCACCTAATCAGAAGGAAGGACTCACTGGAGAAGAGCCTACTACTGGGAACAATTGATGGCAAAAGAAGAGGATGGCAGAGAATGAGGCGGCTGGATGGAGTCACTGAAGCAGTCAGCATGAGCTTAAGTGGACTCCAGGGGATGGTGGAGGACAGGAAGGCCTGGAGGAATGTTGTCCATGGGGTCGCAATGGATTGGACACGACTTTGCGACTAGCAACAACAACAAGCAACAAGAACTTCTGGAGTACATGAGTCTTTTTTGTATTCTTGTCATTTCCTACCTCCTGTTAACAGGTTCTTTAGACAACATCTTAATCCTTCAGTGTTGCTGTGATGTCTAATTTAGATTTTTAGAACAGAATGGGATATTTTATTGTGAATGTGAAACAGCTTGCAATTTCCTTTAGTGTATTGTGCTATTCCACTATACCACAGTGCCTCCTAGAGGGATAAAGTGGAAAAGCAGGAAAGGAAATGCTCTGTTTAGCACTTGGAATTTCAGTTCTGAAACAGCTGATTAGCACTCCTCTAAGGTAAAGTTCTTGGACCTGCTTTCAGAGCCTAAGATATAAGTAATGGAAAGCAATGTTTCCATCACTTTCAAAGGCTGAAAATCCAGTTATGGTTTTTCCTTATTATTTCTAATTCCAAAGCGATATCAAGTCAAGGAAGCATATGTTCAAACCAGTAAAGAGCTACCGGGTTTACCATTCCTATGTAATCTAACCTAGTCTACCCTTTGGAATACTTTGTCTCCTGAGTCTAATCTGGCATTTAAAGAATAAGACGTCTGGCACTGCTAAGGCAACTGGAGGGGACAGTAGGCAAGACCAGGTTATAGCTAATAGTCAGGATGACTATGGAGAATTTACAGTTTTTGAAAGCAACAATGGATGAGGCCTATTGTCTACATGTCCTACTTTTGGGATTCCCAAAAGCTATCTGCTGGACCTTTGGCAAAAACAAGATGCTTTTGTCCCTTGGTGTGAGCCAGCAGGAATCTTCTTATGTTCCCTGTCTTCAACTCATGGCCTTTGGGCAATGACCATTATGGATAAATCAGTATCTGTCAACCAATAAACTGGTTGCATATAGTTAGTGAACTTAAATATTGAGTGGATATGGGACTGCCACTGAAACCAGCTTTTTTGTTGGATGTCTTCCATCTCCCAGTTCACTCATCAGACTTAGCTACCAGAAATCTTTCTAAAAATCAATATGCTACCAGGCACAAGTGGGCTACTACTGGTATGCCAATATCGCCACCATGCCCCCAGTCTCTGTGAGAATTGGTCAGGGTTGAGAATATGCATATGGGAAATTACAAAATTACAGGTCAACCTCCTTTGATTAGGCTACTGGTCCACCCACTTTTAATCAATTGGCTACGTTTTCGCATGTGAATTGGCCAAATATTATGGGGAAATTTTATGTTGCCCTGTGGTCTTCCACACAACCAACTTCCTGGCAATGCAAGTATAAAATCACTTGGGTCGAATTCAACCACTGATACAAACAAACCCATATGTATGAAGCCATTTAGCAATACTTATATGTAGCCATTCTAATTGATCAACATTTGACTCTCTCATCCAATCATATTAGAATTGCCTGAAGGGGTTCCCGGGGGGGGGGGGCATATCTTTGTTTTGCATGCTTGCTAAGCAAGCAGGAATCCGGACGTTTGTTTTTAAAATCCTACCTTTTTGTCTTGTGCTAAAAAGCTGCCTCTCATGCAGTTTTTCATTCCTGCACAAGAAGCCTTCAGGTGGGGGGGGGGGATGTTCCCCCACCTCTTCCCCTCCCCAAAACATTATTAGAAAACCTAAAAGCACAACTGTTTTTATTTCTTTCTTATAAAGCCACATATTTTAACTTAATGCTTCATCCTTCTCTCACTCAACAACACATGAAAAAATATCTCAATATAATGCAAAGGAATATATCAGAGTTATTTAAATATATGACAACTGCAGCAAGAATTACAATTGCCTCTAAATGGAAAATACCAGAATACCCAACAACTGAAGATTGGAAAAATAATTTTGCAGAGTACACAGTAACGACAAAATTAACTAATTATGTAAATAGAAAACCAATTGAATAATTCAATGGCAAATGGAAATTCTGTTATACCCAGTACAATTAATAGGATGTAAAAGGTAGTTTATGATTTTTAATTGATTTGAAGTGATTGTAAAATTTGTCTGTATACAGAATAATAATTCCCTTTTTTCTGAACTTCCATAGAGTACTGAATGATAAAAAGGTATTTTCAGTCTCTTTGAAATTTGTGCGCTTGAATGTATTGGTTATATTTGTTCAAAATCTCTGGGCAATTTTATGTTATTTTACTTTTATATTTATATACTTTTCTTTTTTCTGTATTATATTCTGTCAAAAAAATTTATATATATATAATATATATATTATATAATATAAATAATTCTCCCTCTCTCTCTCCCCTTGCCTCTTTTGCGATCATACTGTGGGGAAGGTGAGGAACAGCTGTGTTCTCCTGCACCTCCTACCCCATTGCCCTTCTGGTGCTGCTCCCAAGTGCCAGTGGGGAAGGGGAAAAAGGGGGGGTGCAAAGGGAAGGCAAGCATTGCATCCCACTCTCACCCCAAGGTGCAGCGGTGGCAGGCAGGATCCAGCCACTTGGCCTCGCTTCCTCGAATGCAAGCCAAGCTCAGTGGCTGGATCTTGTTTGCCTCCACAGCAGGCAGGATCCATCCACTCAGTACCACTTCCTCCTGAGGGAGCAAAGCCAAGCAGCGCTTTCCCCTGCTGTACGCTGCCTCCTCAGACCCTGAACTGTTTGGGTATTTTGCCTTCCAAAATCGGCTGAGGCCTGTGGCCCTTCCTTGCTGTTCTGGCCAAGAGGCTCTGCAGCCCTTCAGCTTGACTGTGGTTTAGCATGCCTCTGGGCTTGGATGACATGCTAAGCAACAGGGGTTTAATAAACCCTATACGAAGCAAAGGATAGTTTGGTTTATAGACCATCCCCTGGACAGCACAGTGCAGATAACATGCTAAGCCAGAAACTCCTCATTCCCTGTGACTTAACATGTTATGCAAACCCAGCCAAAGTGTGCAGAGAGATGGAAAGTGTGTTTTCCCTTCAACAGTCATCTCTGTTGCTGCTTCTCCCTACTTAACTAGTTCTTGAGAAAAATTGTTGCAGCAAAAACCACAAAGAAACCTGTGATGTGTTAAAGACTGACCAGTCTGTTCTCGTATACCCAATGCATCTGACAAAGGGAGCTATAGCTGATGGAGGCTTGTGCCAGAATAAAGAAAGGGGCCACAGGATTCTTGGTTGTTTTTGCTGTTCATGGGATCTGTGGTTCAGCCCACACATGTCTATCTACAACCCAGTGCCACAGCAGAAGAGCTTACCATGTCTCCTGACGACCTCGTTGACCAACTGTCAACTGCCAACTGTCTCTGTAAAGGAAAACTGTGTTCCAGTGGAATTCCTCACTTATTCTGAAAACAAAACAAGTAGGTAATGCTGGGTAGGCATAAGCAGATAGAGTAGCGTAGGGTAAATGGGGTAGGCAGATAGACCAGAATGGAACGCCAAAATAGTGGGGTTCTGTCAGTTTCACTGAAGAAGGAAAAATGCATCCTTTATACAAGGTTTTTCCTGGGGTATTTCTCTTTCTATTTCTTTGTATTTCTCTTTAACCAACCACAAGGTTGCCCTGTGGCCAGCTGCAGTATAGCACAATTACAGCTGAACATGAGGGTTTTGTTCCCATTTGAATGTTAATAGCTGACTTTCCTTGCTCTAGAAAAACAGAACAAGAAAGTGGCTCAAAAACATGGGAGAGGCCCTGGAGGGACCACGTCATGAAAAGCACCCACAAACGTCCATGAATGAGGACTCCTCTGCATGGGCACACAACAAATACTGCATGCAGAGAAACCCTAACTTATAGTATGCTTTTATTTAAATAAAAAATTTCAACCTAAAAAAAAAAATTTCAACCTAACTTATATAGATGATAGCATAGCATAAATTACAAAGTGCATTGTATAACAACATACTAACGTTCACCCTGAAACAAGGACAGTTAACTCTTCCTAAGAACTGGAAAGTCAGACTGCTACCTAACGTGGATTACAAGAGTTTAACTGAAATTCCAAATAATCAATTAAATCAACTCGCTAGCAAAATTATAATGCATTCATAAACTAATACAGTTCCTGGGAGAACAATGACAGACTTCCTGTGACTCTTCTGCAAAGTTTCTCACTTTGCTTCAAAAGGAAAATGTTTGCAGGTGAAACAGAATAAAGCCTCTGATAGTGTCAGTCATCAGTTTCTGTGCTATGGAGGTGGATTCTTTCTCTCTTGGTTGGCTTCATTTAACTGATGTATTAAAAGAGACAGTAATACCACAAATTAATGGTTATGGAGGCAAA